GGCCAGGGATTCCACGTCCAGTTCTAACAAGTGGCGACGCCTTATGGAAACTCTTGAGAGACGTTCTGTTTCAGAGGAGCCAGCTTGTACTTCATCTGATAGCTCTGGCCATCTTTCCCCTCAATTTGGGAGCACAAGAAGGGAAATGAAAATCACCAACTGCCTACTATGTGCCAGGAACTAAGTCAGCAGTTTTACTGTCCTGAGAATCCCAGATTGCCCTCTGAAGAGGGAGATGAGGAGGCTCACGCAGCTAAAGCAGCCAGGCTCCTTCCAAACACAGCGACCTTCTCTTTATGAGGCCATTTTTTGCTGCACGTCTCACCCTTGCCCTCAAGCCAAAATTCCCCCCATTTTAATAGGATAAACATTCCCATGGCAAAGGAACACTGTGTTCCCTAGAGGAGATGTAAGCACTTCACTCCTGCTGAGGCATGTGGGCTTATGAAACAGAGGGCCAGGCTGAGGCCTGGCCCCAGCCTCCAGGGCCAGACACCAGGCTCTATGTGCCCCAGCTAGGCCCACAAGGCAGGAGGACTAATGGGAGATCCCCAGGCAGGGAATGGGGTCTGATCTCGACCCTGCAGCAGCTATCAGTTCTCCTGGTCTCTACCTCCTATAGACCTTACGGTAAGGTGAGCTTGCTTTGGAAAAGTCAGAGAGTTTCAGTCACATGAGAAACAACTCCTGCTTTGCAATTTCAGGGCCTTGATTTCTCTGTAAATGGGAATAGTGTCTGCTTAGAGAAAGGACACAAAAGTAGAGAAGAAAGTGCCTTTTTGGACAGTGTTTCAGAGAGCACTTGCTTTGTGCAATCATTCATTTCTTTCCTTAATTCATTCAAAATTTATCCAGGAATTAGGACAGGTCAGGCTTTCTGCCGCTGGCACAAATACAGGACTTAACAAGCCAGCAGTCCCTGTTCTTAAAGGACTCATAATGTATACACATATGTTTCATGAAAAAAAAAAGTATTTCCAGTCTTGTGATTAGAGAGTAATTCCTGAATTCATTCATTCTCAACTCCTAACTGTAGACTTGAGCACATCACTTAAACACCACCCCATGTCCTTGATTGTGTGATATATGTTGTTTTCAGAAATTCGCATTTCTGAGATCAAGATGCATCTTACAATTGTGATCAGCAGCGTTTTCTTCTTTCTTGTCGATACATATAATGATTTATCTTACCATTGATAACATTTTAGATTCAATGAAATAAGCATTTTAAATATTGTCATCATTATTTGACAATAAAACCTCGATAGTAGGTTTTACAGCCACTGAATTTAACACGAGGTCTTTCCAGAACATTTCCAGTTCATCCAGATGACACACATCCAATGTCCACATTGGATGTAGTGACCATTCCTCACTTTTCCTGAGGAAATTTTTACAAAGGGGCTAGGAGTGTTGTGTCACCTCTTGGCCACCAGAGGGAGCAAGCACATTGGAGAGGGACAGATTCCAGGCTCCTTGCAATCTACTGTCAATGAAACCTTTCCAGCATGATCCCTCCAGACCAGAGTGCAGCACCTCTCCCTGAAACCCCACCTGCAGGACCCAAGTAGAGGAAAGCACCCCAATTCCAGAGCGATGGCAGAATTGAGTGGGTTGGATTTGAATGTTGTTAGAACCATACAAAAAATTAGTTGTTGCTTAATGAGCTCTTCCTGGATGTGAGGACAATGTTGGTCACAAGTAAGGGGCTTTACCTTATGGAAATGCAGAGACAAAGCCCACACTCTTCTTATATTATTGGAAACTCTTGAGACCCCCAGGGATTTGTAAAGTTCTCCAAGGAATTGTTCCCACTCTAACCATCACCACCTGTAGCCTCACTTACAATTCCTTCCTTTTTCCTTTCTGCCTTCACCCTCCCTTCCTTTCATTAAATATTTATTTATTGAGCATCTACTACAGGCCCCAGGCACCATGGTAGGAGCTAGGGATACAACAGAGAAAAGAGGAGGTCACTGTACTTGTGAATCTTGAGTTCTTGGGGATTTATATAAATTAGTACACAAATCTGCTGTAAGGAAAAACATCGGGTTCCAAAATAGCATGGGACAGGAGAGGGCTGAGGGAGGCTGGATCTGGGAAGGTTTCCCTAACAAGTTATAATTGAGACAAATTCCTCTAGGAAAGATGGATGGGGAGGCCTTCCAAAATGATGGATCCTGCCCACCGAGATTCTGAGCTGGAAAGAGCTCAACACCTTCCAGGGACTATTAATAGACTATTAATAGGAGACCCGCATGAGCCCAGAGTAATGCAGAGCCTTCCACACCAGGATAAGGGCATATTTTTTCACATGAAATTATTAAAGGGTTAAAACAAAGAACCAATTTGAGTGGATCTGGGTATTCATGTGACAGCTCTGTCCCATGGAGCATGGCTTGGAAATTAAATCTGAGGGAAGGTGGAGGTATCCAAGTGGGAATTACTGGGGAAGTAGCAGGAAGTTATGGTAACTCCTTGGTGACAGTATGTTCTAGAAACAGAATTGCTGGGTGTGGAGAATAATATAGAAGGGACCATTAAAACTATCTCCTAAGTTTTCTGAAGGAGCAGCTTGGGAGAGGGGGAACTTGCTCTGGGTGGACACCCTGTGACAGAGGACAGGATTTGGCAAAGCAATATTATGAGCCTCTTAACTTCTAGCCATTTCTGGAACCTCCATGTACAAGTACAGAGTAGACAATCACATCTTTTAATCCAGTGCTCAAAACTGGGCTAGAAATGTCAGATTTGAGAGTCATCAGCATATACATGGAATACAAAGCCACAGTGACAGCTGGCGTCAACTGGGTAGGAACAGCAGTGAAGAGAAAATGGTCCAGAACAGAACTCTGCAGGATGCTCACATATGCAGGAGGCAGAGCTAGCCAAGGAGAGGGGAAGAAGCAACCAGAGAGCAGATCAGATGTAAAGCCTCACCATTGTGTCCAATAGGGATGACCGAGTCTTGGACTCCACTAAGAGGTCTAGCGAGATGAGAACTGAAGTGTATTTGGATTTGCCAACATGGCGGTCTTAGGGACCTCAGCAAAAGGCCATAGTAATACACTGGGATGAGGTGGGCTGAAGAGAGAGAGAAGGAGGCACTGGGTGTTTGTTCAGAAATGGAAATCACAAATACCAAGAGAAAGCAGCACCCAGGGGATCAAATTGATGTTTAGCCAGGTTCAATGGCTCAATGAAAACGTGGAAGAGTTGGAGACCTGGGTTCATCCTGGTTGGGATCTCACCACAGAGGCATGAGGGAGGGAGAGAGGAGGAAGGTGGCTGAAAGAAGTAAAACGAAATCTAAATTGGTCAAGGAGGGAAGGGAAGATAGGCGATGGGTGGAGCCAAGGGGTTGGAGATCTCCAGGAGGTCAGGGGGCTGGGTCAGAGGGGACACTTGAGCAGGGGAACTAGAAGGACAGGAGGTAATGACCAAAGGAGAGATTTGACTTTTGAGACTTCAGAGCATGTGTGACATCAGGCCCATGCTGTGACTGTGGAAACCGGTGACTGGAAAGAGAAGGTGGAGTCAGTGGAGTTGAGGAAAACAAGGACCTGAGAAGCCAGAGAGGGGGACAGTGGGTTATCTGCCAGGACACTGCAGTTGCTTAGAATGATTGGCAGGGGGATGAAGATGCCTGGTAGGAGCACCTAGAGCCTTCTGGAAAGTGACCAGAAATTCAGTAGCCGCAGCAAGCAGTTGGGAAGCAGGTGACCAGCTGGTGTTCACCTCTGGGATGAAAGCTTCTGCACAGTCAAGGTCAGTGGCAATCTGGAAACCAGAGTTCCCCCTTCTATTGGAGGAGGAGAGTAAATGGCCCAGGGAAATGGTACCATTATAAGGAATGGTAGCAGCAGTGTTTGGAATCTGAGATCAATGTCCTAAGGGAGACTCTGGGCACCTCAGGACAGGCAGCTGGAGCAATGGGGAGAACCTTAGGTCTTATGGACAGGAGCTGTGAGCATGTTCAAAACCACTTCTCAAAAAACACAACAAAGCAAATAAAGATGTGACTGAGCTGGAGGAGACCAAACAAGAATGGCTAAAATAATAGAATGGGAAGGAGAGACATACAGCACTACCATGGTGGCTGGTAGGAAATTGGGTGAAGCAGGAAACTGGGGGCCTTAAACAGAGGAACTTCCACGAGCCCTGGTCCTCAGAGTGAAGGGAAAAGAAGCCAGACACAGAGGAGGAAGGACCTCCAGCCTGGATGCACACAGCTTCCAGTAGGACATGCCAGAGCTTCGTGCTCCTTCTGGGGAGGAACAGGAGGAAGGAGCTAGAAAGGGCCCAGAGGAGAAGGAAGAAAGGGGCCATTGCAGGTTGACTGTAAGCAATGCCATCTCCATAGCAATTTGGAGAATGAGTTTCTTTTGACTCCTCAATTGGTAAAAGATCTACGTGCCTACATCAAGGGACAAATATATGTACAAATAACTACCACAATAAGATAGTACAAGGGGCTACATGAAAGGTGAAGAAAAAATATTTCAGTGATCAGCAAAGAGAGAGAGAGAGAGAGAGAGACTTCTGCTGGGTATTGTGGCACAGAATTGTAATCCTAGCAACTCAGGAAGCTGAAGCAGGAAGATTAGAAGTTTGAGACCAGCCTGGGCAACATAGTGAGAACCCCTAAAAATAAAAATAAAAAGGGTTGAGTTGGAGCACCTAGTGCTACAAAAAAGAAAAGTGGAAGTGGGGAGAGAGAGAGAGGGACTTCTAGCAAGGTAGTTAGGGAAGTTTTTACAGCAAAAATGGAGTTTCTTCAGGACTAGAATTATAGGGAGATTTTGAAAGGAAAAGCTCACATGGCTAGAGAAATGGCCCCAGCCCTCCTGACAGCACAAGCTACTGAAACAGTAGACCCCACATGTGTCACTGTTCACCCTCTGACCCCCAGACCTCATGCCTCCTGAGCTGTCAGTCCGGCCTCAGGCCAGTCCTCTGGACCCATCCTCAATCACTGTCTTCCCTTTCCCTCTCACCAGCTGTATGACCGATGAGCAGCTGCCCCTCAAGGAGATGTCTGACAACCACAACAGCCCTCTCCTGCTAGAGCCTCTTTCCAGCAGACACAAACTCTACGAGTCAGAGCCGAGCAGCCCTACCTGGCCGTCTAGCCCCCAAAGGTAGTTAGGGAAGTTTTTACAGCAAAAATGGAGTTTCTTCAGGACTAGAATTATAGGGAGATTTTGAAAGGAAAAGCTCACATGGCTAGAGAAATGGCCCCAGCCCTCCTGACAGCACAAGCTACTGAAACAGTAGACCCCACATGTGTCACTGTTCACCCTCTGACCCCCAGACCTCATGCCTCCTGAGCTGTCAGTCCGGCCTCAGGCCAGTCCTCTGGACCCATCCTCAATCACTGTCTTCCCTTTCCCTCTCACCAGCTGTATGACCGATGAGCAGCTGCCCCTCAAGGAGATGTCTGACAACCACAACAGCCCTCTCCTGCTAGAGCCTCTTTCCAGCAGACACAAACTCTACGAGTCAGAGCCGAGCAGCCCTACCTGGCCGTCTAGCCCCCAGGATACACACCCAGCCCTGCCCCTGCTGGAAATGCCTGAAGAAAAGGTGAGCCATGTCCAATCCAGGATGCACTCCAGGTGAGGATTTGCGGGGAGGGGAGTGAAAGGTGCTGCTTTCCGGGCCTCCCAGTGGACTCCATGATCAGTCCTACCTGGCCTTAGACATAAAAGCATGGCTCTCTGTGGAACATGACCGTAAACTGCAAGCAGACAATGCACGCACTCACACACCAGGCTTCCAATCTGTCTCCAAAATCTTTCCCCTTAGACTTGCTCCCTGAGTTACTCAGTGACCTTCAGAATAAAAGCCTTTTCCAGAATGTGGGCCCTGGCACTCTCTGGACACAGGAGCAAGAGGTGGACTGGATAACTTGTGACAGTGGAGGGGGACACAACACTGAGACTTTCTAATGAGATAAAATTCACATGCCATAAAATTTATCCTTTAAAAGCATATATTCAAGTGCTTTTAAGGATATTTATAGAGTTGTTCAAACATCACTACAATCTACTTCCAGTATATTTACCTTGTCTCAAAAAGAAAGCCTGTGTCCATTAGCAGCCACCCACTTTCCACCCTCCCCACCCGCACCTCTAGCAACCACCAATCTATTTTGGTCCCTATGATTTTGCCTATTCTGAATATTTCACATAAATAGAATCATACAATATGTGGCCTTTTGTGACTGGCTTCTTTCATTTAGCATGTTTTCAGGTTCATCTGTGTCACAGTAAAAATTAAGACTTCATTCCCTTTTATGACCAAACCATATTTCCCTGTGTGGACACACCACAGTTTGTCTATCCACTCATCAGTTGATGGAGATTTAGGTTGTTGCCACTTTTTGATTTTTATAAATAATGTTGTTATGAACATCCATGCACAAGTTTTGGTGTGGGCGTATGTTCTCATTTACCTTGGGTATAAAGCTAAGAGTGAAATTTCTGGATCAGGTAACTCTATGTTTAACATTTTAAGGAACTGCCAATCCCGTCAAAGCAGTTGGACCACCATCCATCCTCACCAAGAGTGTCCCATGTTCCAGTTTCTCCACATCTTCATCAACTTGTACTGTCCATCTTTTTTTTTCCTGATTGTATACAAAGATTGGGGTGAAGAAGTCCCATATAGCCACTCACCACGAATTTTAGATTGTAATAGGCAATAGATCTGATGCACACATACAGACCACAATTTTTTTAAAATACTGTGGTAATTGCATTTCAATGTAATTGGTTTTCTTGGTAATCTTATTTTATTTTATACATTTCCAAACATTTTTCTGCAAAGAAGTTCATAGGCTTCACTAAACGGCCAAAATGGATCCCTGGTACAAAATGTTAAGATACCCTCTCATGAAGGATGTGTGGCAGTCCCGGGAAGGGTGGGCTTGCATGGAGTGCTCTGGACAGCTTTAGACAATGAACATGTGCCCCACCGTTTGTGTCATGATCCTTTACCTTTATCAACAAAACACACCCCCAATGTCCCTGCTCTCAGAAGAGTATATTCTGATGTCTTCTTGTGGCCTTTCTTGGAAGGATCTCCGATTATCTGACGAAGACAGCCACATTGTGAAAATTGAAAAACCCAATGAAAGGAACAAAAGGAAAGGGAGCAAGGTGTCCCACAGGGGCTCTGCAGACGGGGGAGGCTTCAGCCTCTTCCAAGCAGTGAGCTACCTCACGGGGGAGATGGAAGAGTACAGGAACTGGCTGAAAGGTAAGCAGACGCCAGCAAAGGAGCCGTGGGCCAGGCCAGAGACAGCCCTTGTCTGGTTTAGAGGAGGAAGCTACTCCCTCACACCGCATCCCAGGGCTCCCTCAGTTGAGGGGTGCTCCAGCCCCGAGTCACTCCAGATACGCATCACATACCATACTGAGCTGCATTCCCAGGGTCAGAATGAAATGCCCTCCACTGACTTTAGTCCTTTGTAAGTCATCCGAGTAAAGGACAATGACATTGGCAACATGTAAACCCTTTCCCAAACAAACCATTTGAATAGCCATTCCTTCACTTGCACCACAGCTATTTTTTAATGTTGCTTACCAAGAGCCAAAAAAACAGGCATCATCTTTCCCAGGGTTCCAGGGTTTTTTCCTTTTACTTCTTCCTGAATTAAATGCTACACCAAACACCACACCCTCCCCGTCCCCACCTGCCCCCCACCAGCATGGGTTGTCTTAGAAACCAAATCGGGGAAGGAGGCACACTGTGTCTCCCCTCTTCTATACCCGGCTTCCTCTGGGCCCTGAATCAATAATGATTTTCACAGCTGGGCTAAAACAATTTCTTTTCCCACTTTCCTTTCTTCAGACTACTTTCTTTGCTAAACTCAGATACCAGTCCTCAACTGAGTCATGCAGCACTACACAAAAAGCGTTTCCCTCCCTCCCACCCCTTCCCTTGGACCAATAAATTTTCCTTGGAGTGCTCCTGGGGTTTTCTGGCCAACCGAGCCAATGGCTGGAACTCTGTTAAATTAGTCTCAGGACAGTGCCTCAGTCTTTATGGCAAAAGGAACCATCCAGTCTTGGGTGTCACCCGCACCCTTCCCCTTCACTGCCCCACCCTAGGCCAGGCTGAATTAGGAGAAACATCCTGGCTTAAGCATCCTGTATGCCTTGGTTGCCATGCCAACCAGTGGTCCAGTGGGGCAGTGCAGGCTAGACCCTGCTGATGGCTCTGTCTGTCTCTTGCAGATAAGCCCTTGGCCTTCCAGTTTGTAGACTGGATCCTGAGGGGAGCCGCTCAGGTGATGTTCGTCAACAACCCTCTCAGTGGGCTCATCATCTTCATCGGGCTTCTGATCCAGAATCCCTGGTGGACCATTGCTGGGGCTCTGGGGACAGTGGTCTCCACCTTAACTGCCCTCGCCTTAAACCAGGACAGGTGAGTCCCTCTCTAGAGGTCTCTTGGAAAGATGTGTGGGGCACAGCCAGGCGAGTCCCCTGAGGGCCAATTTCACACAGGTCACTGGAGGTTCCTACAGAATGAAGTTCACAGGCAGGGATGGCACCCGGCTCAATTTGACTGTGGAACTTTCTGGAAACTCTCCCTCTGAGAAAGGTGTAGAGGGACATGTAAGCTATTCTTCCCTCGTGGGGCCTATGATCTAGTTTCAGTAGACAAGATTGACAGGCAACAGATGCCTCCGAATACTACAGGACCGTACACACCAGAGATTTCAGAGAAGATAGACATCTCTGCCTGCTGGGAAGACTGGGAGGCACTGTTGAGGTAGACATGTTGGGTATGGAGAGAAGTTGAGAAAAAGGGAAGGGTGGTGTGGGAGGGAGCCTCTGAGGAACAGGATAGACAGGGGCAGCAGGAAGAATAGAGAGGCGTGGGGGAGCCAGCTATTGTGAGCCAGGTAACAACAGCAACCAGCATTTGTAGAACTAGACTGTTTCTTCAGACTTCTGCTACGTTTTTCTCCAACAGTTCCCAAACCTTCCTGATCAGAATCTCCTGGGACGATTACCAAAAAAACAGTTTCAGCTCCTCCTCCCTCCCTCCCTCCCATAGCTATTCTGATTCAATGGATCCAGGAGGAGAATTTTTAACAAAATCCACCCAGAAGCTTCTGGTATCGGAGAACTTTAGGACATGAATACAGGATTATCCCATATCTTAATGTTTTTCAATTTGGAGCTTATGGAATCATTAATTAATTACTGACAGCAATTTTTAAAATTAAGACCAATAGAATAAAATTAATCTGACTAGAGCAATCCATGTGCGATAAAGGTAAATATTATTTTGTGAAATGTTTGCTTGAATTCTGTTGGAATGTGGTGGGGGAAGAATTTGATCATAATATAAAAGGTCTTTCTTTGTACCACAGTGAATCTCACCATTGTGTCCATCCACAAAAATGGGGTCCTAATTAGAATAAGATATATTCCATGCTTGTATGATTGTATCAGAAAGGAATCTACTGTCATGTATGACTAAGAAGATCAATTTTTTTCTCTCAAAAAATTAAAAAGAGCTGGGGTTGTAGCTCAGTGGAAGAGCACTTGCCTCGCATGTGTGAGGCACTGGGTTTGATCCTCAGCACCACATAAAAATAAAATAAAGATGAAAAGAAAAATTAAAAAGCACCACTCTGCCTTGTCACCCAAGGCTCTTAGCACTGCTTACCAGGGCAGATGGTAAGGGCAGCAGGTTTCATATTTTGCAAGGGTAAGGGGACCTGCAAGACAAAGGTGCTCACCTAAAGTGCCACAGGCAGGGGTGGCAGGACGTGGGCTTGGACATATGATATGTCGTGCTTGAAATCATGCTGTCCCTGTCATTGCACCTGCAATGACAAAATGGCCATGGTAAACACAGAGCAGTGGCAGTAGTCTGAGCAGCCAACATCACGCCCTGGCCCACCTGGCCTCCCACATACCACCAAGGCAAATGCTTGGGTCAGCTTGTCCCCATGAGGAGCTGCCCATGCACCTCTAAGGTGGCCAGAGGGCCCACTCTGGCAATCTGGGCAGCCATGTGAGTTCAAGTGGAAGAGAGGCTGCCTTCTTTGGAGGGCAGGGCTGGTGGGTAAGGAGACAGTGGGCTCCCACCAGGATTTTGGGTCTGCTTCAACTAGGGGCCCCTGTTCCTCATGCCCACTTCCCTATCAGCTCATGGGCAGCTGGCACAGAACTGGCCCCCAGACGGGATCAGCTCCTGCCCACTGCTTCCCCAGTGTTTGCTAGAACTTTCTCTGGGCTGAACACTACCCAGTCCTCTGCCTTCTTCACTGTGACCTCAGGCCAGCACCTCCCTCTTTTCCTATCATCCTCATCTGTCATATCTGTGGCTCTTAAACCTGTGTCCGTCACTTCTTGGTTTGACAGTCGCATGCTCTGCTTTTTCTCATGACCATATATACTGGTAAACTCATCAAACCATTCAGAGTTGCATCAGAGACTTCAGTTTTACACCAGGCCCACCGAATCCTCCCAGACAACCCAATTAAGAATTCAGATAAAAATCCAAGCCCTCAGCTTGGCTTCCAGAACCTTCTTTGAGGGCCAGGTCTCAGAGTCACTCTTATCCTCAGTTAAGCACTCTCATGATTTCTGTGATTGACACCTGGTATACCTCTGCCTATCCAATCCTACCATTCCTTCAAATCTCTCCTCCTCCAGGGAGGCATTAGATTTTATTAGATTGTTCTTTGATTTTTTTTTCCTGAGTCTTCTCTCCATGGAGTATTCAGGACAGCAAGACCATTTCCAGTATTCCATATTATACCACAGCACCTAAGAAAAACTCAAGCTTCCTTGCTGACAGGCAATCAGCATGTTTTACCCCAGAGGCCCAAAGCTCCAGGTCCCCTTCACAACACACCTGCCTATCTCCTTCCAAGGACTCCATCACTGTCCCCAATGAGCCACTGACACAGCTAGCTGTGTGTCCTAGCCATAACCTCACCCCACTACCCCTCAACACCCCACTGCCTCCCTCCTCCATCTGCACTGGTCCGAGGTACACTTTGTGAATAAGAACTCAGGTCAACACACTGACGTCATTTGTGGCCTGATGGAATTTGGACTTGGTGAGGACCTTTTTGGCATTGGGATAGAACCTAATTTTATATCCCCAGTGGTCAGGGTGGGGATGTAAGGCAACAAGTTTCCTTTTGATAACTAAACCCAGAAGCCAGCACTTTTGGCTAAAGAGAGAGGGAGTTCTGGAAAGAGATGGTCCACAGGAAACAGCTGTTGAAGCAGGCTTGAGATGTCCCTCTAATTTTGTCTCCCCTGGACTCTCTCACCTTGACTCCTGCTACCCTGGCCACACTCAGCCCCTGGGACTGCAGAATCCCCCCGTACACAAAAGGGGCCAGCCAACTTTCCACAATTTCCCTAAAGCAGCTGGTATTGACACAAAGAGAACTCCATTCTAATAAGAAACACAACTGGAAAAGATGGAGAAAACAGAAACACACTACAGAGAAAGATTCCCCCCAAACAAGGGTTCTGCTCCTGAGGGGGCCCCAGATGTCTCTGCTGGTGCCCTTCCCAGGCCCTGGTATGTCTCCAGCTGCCCAGGAAACTGCCTGGCCTCAGGAGTAGCTAAAGACCCAGCTGATCCTGTGTCCAGTACAAGGGACTTGTGTCCACAGCTCTCTTGGCAGGACCCTGTCGAAGTGACTCTCCTGCCACGCCCCCATGCTGCACGCACTCTCCCATTGTCTAGTTCAAGATCTCCTGGCTACTATGGAGGGGGAAGCTCCTCCTGACTTCAGTCCTAAGTCATGGCCCCTGCTGGGCACAAGCCCTCCTCTCAGAATTCCCTCCCTTCATCTCAGGGAGCCGGGAGCTTCCAGAAGCCTCGGCCACACAAGAGCAGCCAAAACATGACTAGGATTAGTACGTACACATATTCATTCAACAAATGCTGGTTGGGTGACTACTGTATACCACACACTGCTGAGGTAGGTATACCAGTGAACACAGACAGGCCCTTGCCCTCAGGGAACTTATAGCCAAGTGCCAGAGGACAGATCATAGGCATAAGGCTCATTCTCTGGCAGGGACCTTGTGTAGGATTTATCCAGACCCTTCCCCCTACCCCCTTTCCTGCTCTCCTCTCCCAGCAGTGCTATTGCAAAGGTCAAGGGCAATGTCACTCAGGATCAGGGAGAGAGGTTTAGTACAGCAAACTTCTCTGAAACAGAGACAATGGACCCAAGCTTGGTTCTACACAGCTCTGCCCCCATCCTCCAACACAGACCTGGGTGGGGGTGCTTGTGGGTACCCCAAGATGATTCAGCACTTCCACTCCCTCAGACACACAGGGAAAGCCCCCAAAGCTCAACCAGAGAGACCATGTCTCCATCTGCCTCCCTTCATTCCTCAGCCCGCTCTCTGGTCTTTCTCCCTTGCAACACACACACACACACACACACACACACACACACACACACACTTTCTCTGAGTCACACCTCAAACTTCTATAGATTTCCTTCTGTACCTGGCAGTATGAGATGCCCCCAAAAGAGCAAAGGAAAAGTGCTGGAACTACCCAACTGCCCAGTATTCATTGATCAAGCTGACTTTTTAATGTATCATTAGTAAAGTTATCATCTAAATTACCTTAGAATTCTTGGGGGAAAGAGCCCAACAGGCCACACCAAATTTCAACTCAAACTTACTGTTTCACCCCTAGATCAGCCATTGCCGCAGGACTGCATGGCTACAATGGGACGCTGGTGGGACTGCTGGTGGCCGTGTTCTCTGAGAAGTTGGACTACTACTGGTGGCTTCTGTTCCCTGTGACCTTCACAGCCATGGCCTGGTGAGGCGCCTCCTTCTTTCTGCATACAGATCCGTGGGGCCCCAAGATGCCTGTGCCTTTCACTGGACAAGGACAGGCCGTCCACTGTCAGTGGACACTGACACTCAGTGTCTTCATGAACAGGCTGATTTGTGTAGCAAGACACCATGAAAGCTCAGGAGCTCAGGAGCAGCACAAGGGGACAGCATAGAAATGTGTTGATAAGCTTCCTTGAGTGACAGTCTTCATAATAAAGGCTAACTTTGAGTAGCTCCTAAATGCCAGGCACAGTGCTAAGCAAGATGGGGGTGTGTGTGTCCCAGTTGACAGAAGGGAAGACCAAGGCACGCAGAGGTCAAGTAGCCTGCCCCAGGTCATGCTCTATGAATGTCTGTGATGCTTGCTTTCTGAGTCCAGAGTGGGCACTATCAGACCCCAGGCTGTGTGGCAATCATCTATTATGTAGCCTACCCTAGACCCAAAAGCTGAAAATTCACTTGTGATAAAACAGAAGGCTTTCTTGGGACAAAATGCCCCCTGTAAACCGGAATATTTGAACTAGAAGTATCACTTGTGTCTTCCTCAAGGTGAAAGGGGGTTTGAAAAAAAAAAATTCATTGAGTGCAGGGTATGTGCCTGTCACTCACACACATGACTCTTAGCTCATCTGAATTTACAGCAGGTCAGCAGAGGGCCCAGAGGGTCTCAGTAGTGTGCCTGCTGTCACGTTGAACCCTTGACCTCCACCCCTGACTTCCTGTGTGCATTCTACCCTGGCCTCAACTCCGCTCACACATGGTGATTTATTCCTGTTCTCAGTGATAAATCAGACATGGTGACTTATTTTTAACATCTCTAAGAAATAAATTCTTTCTCTGGTTTTAAAGTCTGGAGTTCCTAAAACCAGTTAGTTTCATTTAGCTTAAGTACTGTTTCATTACTTTTTAGTAGTGCTTGCAAATAAATTACTACATTAACCATTCTGGGCAATTTATTTTTCTTCTTCGGATTTCTTTCTGAATCTGTTGGGACACAATGATAAGGCAGTCATTTCTGTGGGGATTTCTTTAATGCTCACCCCCTGTGAGGAGCAGAACTTGTCCTCATTTGCATTAAGTGTGCTTTATAACTATATAGATTAAGCCCCTCAGCCAGGTGGCACTAGGTGGCAGTTAGACTTCAGTGTCCCCCACTTCCCAATTTAAAAGAAAAACTACATTGATACTCTACCCTGGGCAGAGCATTGTGCTTCATTAACTCTACTTCATAATCCATTCATATGGTCTTTCAAATTTATCTAAGTAGGGTGGGTATTGGTAATGCCACATCCCGGACTGATTCAGTAAACAAATATTTGTGTTGATTTGACTATTGGTTGAGTGCAGGGATATTCTAGAAGCCGAGGATAGTAAGGAAAGGTAAAGAGCTCTGTTCACAAAGAGAGAAATGAACTCATAAGCTAATTAATAAAAGGAGGTCATTTCAAAAAACACAGTATGTAGTTTGGAAAGCAAAATAGAGTCAATGGAACCAAGAGTGATTCCGGCCATGGGTGGTCAAGGAAGGCCACTTTGTAGACGGGACATTCAAAGATCTAGAGAAAGGGTTGTCACAGGTAGAAAACCCAAATTGGGGAAGTGTGATGTGTTCAAGAAGTAGAGACGAGACCAGTGGGCCAAGGCCCCGAGAGTGCTGGAGGAGGTGCAGGAGGGGAGAGCACAGAGGAGATGAGGGCTGGCCCCCTGCTCCCTGGAGAGCCAAGAAGTCTTATGATTTTTATTACAACTGTAGTAAAACACAGGACACAGGATTGACAGATATAATTTATATTTAAACAAATGCCTCTGCTTGCAAAGCAGAGCAAGAATGGATGAGGGAGCACAGTCTGCTATAATGAGCCACAGAGAGATGAGAACAGTTGGGACTTGGGTGATGAAGGAGAAGACACTTCCATCAAAGGAAAGAGGCAGAATATGTGGGTGTGAGGTTTAGTTTTGGTTTGGTTTGGTTTCTTTGGTCGGAAAAATGAAGGATTTCTCATTTTGTCATTTGTATTTTTTTTTTTAAGGAGTAAAGCCCGGTGGTTGGCTGAAAGTAAAAGGGAAGCAGATAGTAAAGATTTGAGGGAAAGCCGAAAATGTGAAATAGTCCTTAGTGTGTTGAAGAGTTTGTGAGCAGGGGAGGTGCGGTAGGGTAAGGTAGACCCCCTTGAGATTCATGGTCATGAATTGAGGGTAGACTGTGCAGGCAGATCATGTGATTGCATGTTAGGTATCTAGGGTGGCTGGTCCCTTCCAGAAGAAATGGAAGTGAAGAGAGGTTCATTACCTAACGTTGCTCATTTGACCTGTAAGCATAGTAATGAGGATTTGTATCCAGCTCCATCTGCCTCCAAAATCCATGCTCTTTCCAAGGAAGAGGCCAAGAAGACAGAAGGTACAAACAACTGAAGGCTCACTTCACCTGGCAGTTCTCAGAGTAGTTCTTAGTATTCTTGCTGAGTCCAGGCCTGCACAGGACCCACATACCATACCAGCCTCCTCCTAGGTCAGACTCCTAAAATGCTATCACAGTCCAGGACAATAGCTATTATCCATGCTGATTGTGAAAAGCAAGAATTGCATTTTTTTTTTTTTAGAATATATTGGTTTCATTTTCTCCATTTAAGAAACAAGGAAATGCTTAAATTATTTATAATGTATTCTATTTAAAATGTTTCAATATTTTCAAATTTTGTTTCTCATAGCTGTGAATTTAAGTTGAACATCTCATTTCCAATCCCAAAGCAATGGACCACTAGAATCTTGAGGGAGTCAGAAACGACTATAACAGGAGAGGGGAGGGCAGAGGGCACAGTGGCCAGAGCAGAAGGGACACTGTCAATGTAAGGGTACTCACAGCGATCGGCCCTCTGTCTCTTCCACCTTCAGCCCAGTTATCTCCAGTGCCCTGAGCACCGTCTTCAGCAAGTGGGACCTGCCAGTTTTCACGTTGCCCTTCAACATCGCTGTGACTCTGTACCTGGCAGCCACAGGCCACTACAACCTCTTCTTCCCCATGACGCTAGTAGAGCCTGTGTCCTCGGTACCCAATATCACCTGGACAGAGATTGAAATGCCCTTGGTGAGTTTCCCAATGGCGATGAGTTGAAGCCCCTCAATTCCATGGCAGATCCTCTTGCTTCCCAGCCTGTACCTTCCCCAGGTGGTCAGCTTCAGCTTCACCAGACACTGTCCTTGATAGTCCAGAAAGTGTGGCTGCCACATCCAGACACCCATTCAACAGAACATATTGAGCATCTGACATGTGCCAGGCAATTTTCCAGATATTGAGCATACACAAGGAAGAAAGCAACAGCCCTACCCTCCTGAAACCTACATTCTATAGAGGGGAAGAAATAACACAAGTGAACAAATAAGGGCTACGTTGACTGTGCAGGATGATGTGATTGTGTGAAAAAAAAATATTAGATAAGATAGATAAAAGAGTAAGAGACTAAAACAAATGTTTAAAATTAGGATGTTACAGGTGTTACCAGTAGAAGACAATGGTTAAACTTTCACATACTCTCTGTATTAATGATTCTCAAGCAAAGGTGATTTTTGCTCCTTGGGGACATTAGGCAAGGTCTGAAGAAACCTTTTTATATCAAGACCAGAGAAGTACTTCTGGAATACAGCAGGTGGGAGCTGTGTACCCCCTGCTCAACGTCCTATCATACACAAGACTGCTTCTCACCACCCTCAGCAAAGAATTCTCGTCCAAAATGTCTATAGGACCCAAGTTGAGAAACTCTGCTTGATATCCTACCATCACAAATGTACAGTTGCTGAGAATACACTGTCACCCATCCTCTGGCCTTTGGGAATATGGACCCATTGTCCCTGGCCCACATCCAAAAGTCACTATTTAAGCACCCACCATAGGAACATGCGGCTTGACCAGAGAGAAAGGCCCACTCCACACTGTGAGGCCGGACAACCCAGTCAGTGCTGAGGGGACCTGTGTGATGTGGGTCACAGAGAAGAGGACCCTCTTACTCCTCCTCAAAATAAACAATGAGAAAGCAGGTGAACCAAATCTGGATACCCTGAGGCCCAAGCTCGCCCTCCAACTCCGCAGCAGCCCACCACTCTAACAAACAGCATCCTTCTCTCCCACATCAGCCAAATCTGAATTTTGAAGAATCCATGCCACTTCCCTGTTTCTCTAAAGCATTGCAGGGGAAAGACTTCGTTTTGTTTAATCAGCTTGTTGTTGTTCGTGAGAATTATAAGGAGTATGAAGAAGACCAGGTGCTCGGTAAATTTCCACCACACACCTGACTGCGCTTCACCCCAGGGTGTCAACTGGGCCTGGAGAGCAGGGTTAGGGGAAGACTGCACAGTTCACCAGGCTAAAATATGGACCCTGGCAGAGGAGCTTCATTCATTCATCTGCATATGGCTCTATTCCAAGGCCCCTTGTTCCCTCATTCCTCTCATTCTTGATTGCTTGAGCTTACAACTGTGTTCCCGGATGGACAGGTAGAAGCTGGATTCCCCTCAGCACTCCGCATCCCCTAGACATTGGCAGGTCATTGGGATCTTTGTTGAGTAGACTTCTAGCCTGTTCCACATGTAAGCTGAGTTCCCTGGTCTGGTACAAAGTATTTTCTGGAACCAATATATAACACTGGGTAGGGTCTACCCTGCCATTCCTTGCACAGGTTTATAAGCTAATCAATACATATTTTTATGCACCTTTTGTATACTCAGTCATAAAACACCCTATCCTCTAAGAATCCTATGACCCAGAGAAATGAGCTACAGAATTTTAAAGATGGAAGGACCTCTGCTAGGCCAGCCTCCTCATGTCGCAGAGGAAGACACCAGAGCCTGGAATGAGGAAGTGACACGCGTATGGTCACACAATGAGTTCCCTCTGGAAGCTGGAGTCCTGAATCCCTAGGCCAGTGCTCACCCTCCTCTACCCCTCTCCCTCTTTTCCTCTTTGACCTCAAAGGACTGCAGAGATATGGACAATTCAGCCTGGCCAAAGAAGGACTATTCAACCTCTGTCTCAAATCAGTCATCCCCAAGCCCTCCACCACCAGATCACTCTCAAGGCTCAGGGGTGTTGGGGCTGCGTGCCGTTCTTCAGCTGTTCCAGAACAGTACTTTATCACTCTGCTAAGTGGAAGAGCAGGGAAAATGCCTTCTCCTCCTTTCCAGGGGTAGAATAGAGAGCACCTAAAAGGATGTATCAGCCATGTGGGGGTGGTAAAGACCTGGCTATAGGTCAAGTTCAGAGGCTCTAGCTTAGGGAACTCACTCATCAAAATAACCTGGGATATCTCAGCTATTTGTAGATATTTCTAGGATTCCAGGAGGTTGAAAGGAAATCCCCTAGTGCCCTGAAACCCCAAAAGGCAGTCTGAGAAGGCCCTGCATTCTCTTCCCCTCCAAGCAGAAGCTGTGTGTTCCTCAGAAGCATCTGTGCCTGGACCCCATGTTGGGTCCTGCCCACCTGGGTGCATGAGGTTGCCAGATGCCTGGTAGGTGGTGGAGTGGGGAGCTGTTTGTTCCAGTTTTTGCCCTCCCCTGTTCTCACACTGGAGGGCACGGTCATCCTCCCGTTCCACCTCATTGCCCCCTCCAGGAATGGCTCAGCAGTGGCCCACAGGCCCGGTCTTTGCGTTATCAACTTATGCTCCAGTGACTCGGGTTCTGTTGATTTTGCAGCTGTTACAAGCCATCCCCGCTGGGGTTGGCCAGGTGTATGGCTGTGACAACCCCTGGACCGGCGGCATGATCCTGGTGGCTCTGTTCATCTCCTCCCCGCTCATCTGCTTACACGCAGCCATCGGGTCCATCGTGGGGATGTTAGCAGGTAAAGCACGGCCCCTGCTCGGATCCTCAGAATAATCGTTGTAGGGTCCGTTCTCCCCACACACAGCAAATATTCTAGACGTACTCTCTTCACTGGAGTTTTAAACACTGTCAGGGGTAGGAACTTAGTTTTCCTTTTTTCTGAGTCTCTAAAGGGAGCAGATTGCAATGTAGGGGGACGGCAGCTGCCTGTGGGGGAGGGGCGCAGGAAAGCCCAAGCTGGACACACGGCCAGCACTTTGGAGTTTTGCATAAGCTAAAAGGAAAAGTTTTCCCAAAATTGGATCAGCATTTCACAAGTGCAATTTCACCTTCCTCCACCTATGTACATACATAGACGGATATGCTGTGTACCACAAGAGCCAGAAATGAGGAAGGGAATGTTGGGAGTAGAAGCCTGTTTTTTACTTATTCCAATACTATTCAATATTCAAAGACATTTGGAAGCAGCCACCTTAAACATTTTCAATTGGAAATACTCTCACACTCATCAAAAAATCACAAAAATAAATAATACCAGAGGTGCCCACTGAGTCCTTACCCAGACTTACCTGTTGTTTGCATCCTACCCCTGTGGCTATGACTCGCCTCTGTCTACATGTGCCTATAGTTGTAGACTCATAATTTTCAGCCATTGGACATGGAATTTTTAAAAATCAAATCGCTCTTGGTAAAAATGCAGCTTCTCTGGCTAAAGGAGTGGGTAGGCTGGACTCCCACTTCCGCTGCCCGTCTGTCCAGCAGTAGTCACACCTCTGTGTGAAAACCCTGCCTTTGGAAAACTGTTTGGAAACCACTGCTTTCTTGCCATTGTCAGTTTCCTGAGACCAGAAGCCATCTGCAGAGATTCCTTTGATAGACAAGGTTGTAGGTATAGGGTGAAAAACCAGAAAGGAACTGAGACCTGGCACCATCCTCGGGGGTCCAGAATCACTCAGAAATACCACATCTCATTCCACAGCCCTGACGGTGGCCACGCCCTTCGAGACAATCTACATGGGCCTCTGGAGCTACAACTGCGTCCTCTCCTGCATCGCCATCGGGGGCATGTTCTACGCCCTCACCTGGCAGACCCACCTGCTGGCACTTGTCTGTGGTGGGTATTCGAGAAAGTGACAACAAAGTCAATTCTCTATTCCTATTCCTAGCTCCCTTGTTAGGTGCCTGAACTAGCTCATCCCCCAGATCAATAGGAACAAGATGTTTATTGTCTCCTGGCTCCATGCAAGTCCATCATGGACATGGGGAGGGAATAAAAGAATGTAAGACTTTAATGTCTTCCCTCATAGAATGCACCATCAGGTGGGAGATAACTGCAAAGATGTCAAACATACATGCCCCATGTCAGGGCACAGTGCAGACACCAAGGCTGCAGGAAAGAACACAGGAGCCCTGCTCTTGGTCTGGGCTCTGCCAGGGCAGTGGCTGGAGGGGGAGGGGGCAGGCTCTGGGAAGCTGACTGTTGGTCCTTGTAACTCCACAGCTCTGTTTTCTGCATACATGGGAGCAGCCCTTTCTAACATGATGGCGGTGGTAAGTTTGGACTCTGTCAAGCACCATCCTAAAGTGTTCCTGCCCTATCAGAGCTTCCGGATGCTTGGGTTCTTGTGCAAGGTCCTGAGTGGATTATGGTATCTGGTACTTAGTACTTCAATCAAGGCTTCACTAGGGTTTATCCAGAGAAGAATCTGTGCATGTACCTCTAGGAAGAGTGTGTGTGTGCATGTGTGTGTGTGTGTGTGTGTGTGTTGAAAGAGAAAACAACAGAGAAGGACAGATGGCACTATAGAGATGATGTAGGAATCTATGTCAAGACCAATTTTTAGCTCGAGTATTAAGTGATTCTGATTTTGCCCAAAGGGACCACCTCAAATTCCTTGACCCACTCCTCAGACATTGAATTCAGGAATAGCAGTGCCTTCCCTAGAGAAGGATCCCCATTCTCAATTCCTACCACATCCTTCTCCCCCAGTGTCTCTAGCCCAACACAGGAGCCTAGAATCATTCTTCAGACCCCGATGCTTTTATTTCCAGGTGGCTGTACCACCAGGCACCTGGGCCTTCTGTATCTCCACCCTCATATTCCTGCTCCTGACAACCAACAACCCAGCCATCTACAAGCTCCCGCTCAGCAAGGTCACCTACCCGGAGGCCAACCGCATCTACTACCTGACAATGAAAAGCAGTGAAGAAGAGAAGTCTCCCAGCGGTGATTAGCCAGCTCCGGGCAGAGATGCTCTGCCCGGACCTTCTGTTCTCAACTCTGGGACAAGCAGCTCAGTGCTTCCTTCTTTGCCTTTTCTTGCACCTGTATGGAATCAGACACAGCTGTCATTCCCTGTCCCTGCGGCTGAGCTTCTTTCTCTGTCCAAATCCTCACAATTGTCCTCATAATGGCCACATTCAAGGAAGTCAGGGATGAGATTGCAGAGTTAGAAGGAAGAAGCATGTTTTACATTGTTGGTATACAACAAAAATATTAAGTCTTTTGGAAAGGTGACTAAAAAGTGATCTTCTTGGACTGATTAATAAAACATAGATGCTATAGAATTAAACTTGCTGAGTGGCTCCTGGACAGACATGGAGTAGGGGACACGTGCTGGAGATGAAGGCACCCTAGGCGCAGAGCCAGTGGCTGGTGGGGACCTCTGGCCACACTGCTGGAGTTTTCAAATCAAAACAGGGACAAGCAGGGGACTGAAAGTGTCTAAATAAGTTCTGAATATTCACGTTTTCCCAAACTGGTGATTACTGCCCCTTTCCCAACACTCATGTTCAAAACCCTGTTTCTATATTATCATGTGAGCAAAATACCGGAGGGCTTACCCTAGCTGGACTCCCTGCTTCTCCGATGCTCCTTTCCCACCCTGAGGAATTTACAATTGCTTCAGGATCCACCCCCAGTGCCCCAGACCTTTGAACACTGGACTTCTCCCGTCATCTCCCACCTACATTTCGCTGAGATCATTTATCCTTTTTAGTTTTCCCCTTGCAATATGCCTTTTATTTTTGCAAAGAATCCTATACCACACATTCCTGGTAGTTCTATTATTTTCCACTGGGGTTTACTGTGAATCCTGGGATGTTACCTTTTATCATTCTTTCTTCTGTTTTCCATCTTCCCCTGCCTTACAACCTCTATTCTGGTTTGTTCATTCCTTGTTTAGAATCCTTCCTTGAGTATATTCTTCAAATAATACAAGAGAAAATAAGGTAGCATATTCCTGGACGCTGTGTCCACAGAGTTTCTTTCCCTTGATAGGAGAACGGCATTTTGACTGGGCACTGAGCCCCTAGGGTGCAACCCTGCCCCTCGGATGTCTATACATGTTCTTTCATTTTCTCTCAAGTGTTAAAATGAGAAATCTGAGGCCAATCTCATTCTTTTTCTTTTGTGAATAGCCCTTTCCTTCCTTCTAGGTGACCACAATCTCTTGTCTTTGAAGTTCAGAAATTTTGGGAAGCTACGCAGGGGAGTGTGTCTCCTCTCATCAGTCCTGCCTTTCCCTCTGCAAACTCCAGCCCTTCTTGAGCTCAGCCGGCTTTCTTCTAGCATTTACTTGATTACTGCTTTTCCCCCATCTCCTCTGTCTTCTCTCTCAGGAACTCCAATATCCATCGAGGCTTCCTCGAACTCTGGTCCAAGTTACTTATCTTCTTCCAGTTTTTACCATGCATAATTTTGCCCTGCTTTGACATATTTCTTCCACTTGATCTTTCAGCCACTGATTCATTTCCCAACACTAAACTTTCTTCCTTAGATTCAACTGATAAGTGTAATTTGGGATATAGATATAGCTATAGATATACGTATATACATAGTCTTTGTTTTAGAAAAATCTTTGAGATTTGAGCTAAAATGAAACCCCTATGTGTGTTCATATTATTCTTTTGTTTTTATCTATCTCCTTTTGCTCCCCAAATCAAAGTTACCTTCTGGTAACTTGTAGCCCTAAACTTAGGCCCATTCCCCTTCTTCCATCCCATATGGGCCCCTGTGCTGATTGCCCAGAACCGTCCACCTGTGTTTGTGACCTAAGAAACTCTGTCTTCTGCCTGACCTCATTCACTCACTGACCAAGGAAACACTGTGTATAGAAATATTAATATGTTACTAAGTCCCGGGCTTGACAGTAACGGAACCAGTCCCTGCCTTTGAGAAATTTATTTTATGGGGATTTGCATGACCAGGTGAAGAGTCTTACCTGAGATAAAGATGAGGCTAAGCAATCTTCATCTTGAGGAAATTATCTGGTCGGGTTGGTCTTTTGTTTAGGAAATGTATCAGGCGTGATTTTAAGGGTTCCAGGAAAATAACTGTGCCTCTTTTCCTGTCCCCTGTGTTCCCATTACCTGCTACCAAAGCATTTCCAGCCATCCCTTTGATTTAAGGCTCTGAACCAGTTAAAACGTAAACAGCCCTGGGAGGGTAACAGAGTAAGCATGATCAATCATTTGCATCTTAGGTCGCAGGAGCCATTTCTGAGAATAGGTTCGATGAAAAGGGAGGGCAGAGCACAAAGAAACATGAGCAGCATATTTTAAGATAGTCTTTGGGAAGAAAAAAGAAAAGGGCATCCTGAGATAAGGCCAAGCTGGGTGAAGGAGGGTCTGGAGCACATGGTCCCACCAGGATGACTGTGAAGCTGGTTGTATTTGGCTTGAAAAGAAGATTTGGCTGAGGTCATGGCTGTGTGCAGTAAGAGGAAACACGTGTGGAATAAGTCAGCTAGACGTCCCCCCAGAGCACGGGGCACAGAGGTGGGAGTGGTGAGCAGGCCCCCTGAATCTGTGGAGAGGGATGCATCATAGCAATGGCGGAGCCTGAGCACAAGTGTCCTGTGAGACTCTCAGGCCCCTACTTGGCATTGCAGGGCTGAAGGCCTGCAGGGGACATTTGCTTTGGGTGGAGTTAAACCAAATGACCACTGCAGGTACTCTCCTCCAACTCCAAATTTCTGTGATTCTGTGGCCCTGAGCTCCTGCCAAGGAATAAGGTGGAAAATCACTAAGGTGACAAAAACTCATGGGGACAAAAGTTCAAAATGTACCATTATTGTCTTTTCAGCTTTTCCTAAAGCTTGACCAGTTAGCCATTTGGTCCGTTTTACCAAAATGCTCAGCATGGTTGCTTGGAGGACCACTGTCTCTCAGCTGGCCCTTCTCCTTGACCTGCTCCTCCCGACCCTCTCCCCTCTGGGGGATTCTTCTTCCTGTCCATCCTCTAAGCTCTGACCGTCACTTGGTCTTCCTGGCCTGTGTCTGTGGCTGCATCAAACGGATGTGCCCCAGTTTGTTCATGGTCCCTGTGTGAGTCTCAGCTTTGTTCTCTTAGGCCCTAAAGGTTGTGAGGGCCTGGGGACAGCTATCACATAAAACCAGGTGGGGAATGAAAGTTTCAGTGTGGGCATGATTTCTACTCAATAAACTGCAGTCTCACTTGGCAGCTTTAAAGGTATTCACATTTTATGTGAGATTTTTTTTGACTTGCCTGGTTTTTCTCGCCTCTAGCCATTCAGAGCAGATAGAAGGACCTATAGGGACCCCTTCTACCTCTTGTGGAACTAGAAATTCTAAGGCCCCAAGGAGGGGGTGGGAGAATGACAAGTCCTTTTTAACCCTTTGCACATTGGTAACTAAGAGCCCCCAGTTCCCTGCTACAGCTACTGGGGCTGCTGGAGCCCAAGGAAGCAGCAATTTGCTTGCATTTTACAAGCTCGGGATTGGTTCTCTCCACAGGACCTTGGCCCCTTCCCCTGGAGGAATCTGACTGCCCTGAGTTAACTCTGGGAATTCGTTTCATTATTCTCCCTCCACAAGGTCAGAAATGTAGCATTGTGAAGAAAACATCATTCTGAAGTGAATTCTGGTTGACTGAGCCTTCAAGGAAAGAGTCTCTTGCACAAACAGATCTCTTAGATAGTCCTCAATACCTGGGTTCCAGACTTTGGTACAACCCACAGGGCACAAGATTCCATCTCAGCTTTTTGCTGCCTGGGAAGTGCTGGATTACCCTGCCCTGGGTCTCACATGCCAATGTGTGTGACAGACACTACACTCCTAGGAGCTATGGTTCCTTTCAGCTCAGGACTCATGATGAGCTTCCTAGATGGCTTCTCCAGGGGACATCATTTCCTTTCTTTTCAACTTGGTTCTATATTCTTCCCAAGTGGCATCTGTCTGTTATGTTTGGGTGGGTGGATGCTCAGGGAGCCGGAGTGAGCTCACTACAAGAAGTTCAGGAGCCCTTAGAAGAGGCCAGAGAAAGATGGCAAGGGGCGAGCATCAGGGCCTGAGCCAAGAGACTAAGTGACGGGGGACAAAGAAAAGGTGAAGGCTTGCATTGCCCAGAAGATGCCAAGGCCCTGACCCAGCACACCCAGGAAGGCCCCTGTGCTGGGAACCACCTGCTCTTGCACACTCGGCCTCTCCCTGGAATGCAGAGGCCTCCTGGATGCTCCTACCCTCTCCTGCCTCCAAAGCACTTCCCTAAGCAGGAACCCTCTTCAGCAGTTCCGAAACACCTGGTGCTGTGGGACGGGGACCTTTGACGTCAGCGGGGGAGTCTGTCTACTCAGGTGTAGCTAATTTTCTCAGTATGAGGTTCTGCTTCTCATCCTGAGTAAGGCCCACACTCCACCTCTGAGTGTGTATTTGGGGGTGGGGTGGTACGTCAGTCTGGGATTGATGACCCATCATACTAGCCAAACAAAGCATGTTTGGATTGGGCCCCCTCCCCAACCTCCAGCCCACCAGACCCCATGGCCTCATGGGACTTGGGAGGGCCTGCTTTCATAATATATAGACCTCAGAGTTCTTTCTTGACACAGGGGTTAGGTCATGCCCTCCTTGCTGTGAGAGGGTCCCGCAGAGCCCTCCCGGCCCCAGTCGGCAAGAGTTAGGAGGAAAGGTCTGAAAATTTCCATAGAACCAGAAAGACAAGATCTAGCATAGGCTGTGCAAAAATTTCCATGGAGACGCTGATGGCAAAACTGCTCCCCAGTCTGCACCCCGCCTGGATGGGGAATTAAAGGAGCTTATTGAGGTTGGAAGGCAAATTGGCCCCCAGAGGAGACAACACTTAGATAATTGCTTTAAAGGCAAATGCTAGAGCTAGAATTCTAATGAGAAGAGGTGACGCCTCGAGACAGCAGGGCGGCTACTAGACATCCCAGCTCTGCCCTTTGAAGGAAAGCTGCCTGGTCCCCCAGCTGGGGAACCATGGTAGCTGGCACTCACCTTCCCCTGGGGGTTTAGGAAGTCATCTTTTGACAGGAAAGCCAGAGAGAGAGGGAGTGCTGCAGAAGGGGCATTTGTCCCTCCTGTCCCTACTCCTCCTCCGTAGTGCCCTTCCCTAACCCGCAGACTTGACCGGAATGGGTTTAGGGGATGCACATTGATGAGTTTACAGAAAGTCAGCAAGAGGATGCCTGGAGGGCTCGGGGAGGTGAGGAAGTTTGAGTTTAGGAGAAATCATAGCACCTGGAGCTGAGGACCACAGACGCTGCCCATTTGGAAAGAAGTTTCTTCCCGAGTCCTGATGGTCTAGATTCCTCCAGCCCTGTGCAGGAAACCCAAAGGAGCCCAGGTAAGAGATGCTGGGGAAAAGAAGTGGACCACGTAGATCCCCAGCCAACAGCAACATCGGGCACTTCAAAGGAAAAGTTTTAACTCTTTCTTCTGTTGAACTGCATCTGGGAAAGACTGTCATGGAGTGAGAAACTCACTAAGAAATCCAGATAGAAGCTAGGTTTTGGAAACTTTGAGATGAAATGGCTCTTGAGTATTTGTAGCTCAAACTCTGTATTTTATAGACGAGGAAACCACGGCTAGCCAGAGATGTGTCCAGGGGACTAAAGAGCCTGGGCAAAAGTCCAGGATCCTAACATGCAACCCTGGGTGCTACATGCTCACCTGGTGATGAAACCAGGCCAATTTGCCAGCCTTCTATCCCCCCTCCACTTGCCCACTGGAAGGGCTTTATAGCATTTGTCACCCTTCCCACAGGCTATGACCCCCCCCCAGCTCTGACATCACCAGTATGGCTCCCAGGGCTGTGCTGCATTGGGTTGAGCCTCTGGGAAGTAACTTCTGGTTAATGAGGTAGCATTGAAAATGTTCTGCAAGCACTCACTACCTGCTGCTTCCAGAGCTGAGCACTGCTCCATGTCCCTGGCTTGTCTCCTTAGGTCCTATATGCCTTCTGCAGAAGAACAGGACCAACTAGTCTCCACTCGCATCTTAACCTCACAGCTCCTCACAACCGAAAGTCCTCGGTAACCCCTCTCACATACCCATCTGAGATTACCATAGACTTATTCTGTGTAGCCACTGAGAAGATGTTTCTGGAAGACAGACGCAGGCCATAAGAAGCAACATTTCATGATATTGAAGTTATCTAAGTCAAAAGTGGATAGCCTGTAAGGTTGGTGACCTCCTCCAAGACAGGCAGCCGGTGATATGAGCCTTGGCACACTTGCTGGCAAAATCCATCCTGCAAGGCTTGGCTATGTCTGACGCTCTGCTTGTGGTCAAAACCCTGGCTTCCATGTACCCCTTCTCTCAAATGTGTGTGAAATCTACAACCTTCTGTGAGGCTGGGAGAGAACTTAAGTTTACTCTTAAGTGTCAAATTTGGCTGATTGGTATTGGTTTTATGGATAACCGGGTTAAGAAGGATTCTTAGGCTGCATCTAAACTTAGTGGAAAAAAACTCTGTACCCAAATAGCTATGTCTACCACAGAAAGTGAGGGGAGGGTACAGAAAAGAATTGCAGGGGACAGAGTATGGAAATGTTTCCACAAGAAAAAAAAAACTAACATATAATGGCCCAGAATTTTCCTTGGCTTTTTCATGGGTGTCACAAAAGTGATGACACATGAGTGTTTATGATTTTGTGCAACTTTTGTTACTCCTCTCAAAATATGAATTATTTCATAATTTTCTTAATTTAAAAAGTCACAAACCCATTGCTATTATTTAGAAACCTCCAACTATCAGTAAAACATCTATTTGCAGGAAAAAAGAATTAAATCAGGAGGTTGAAACCTGGCTTCATAACTAACCAGTTAGATAGTCTTAGGTAAGCCACTCCTCTCTGGGCCTCAGTTTCCTTCTGCCAAAGCCTGGATATTCAGATCACCTGGTTAAGGAAAAACATGTATTGCAAAGTGGTTTCAGTAGGTTGGAAAGTATTTATGGAGTACTTTTCATGTGTGTTGCAAATATCAGTATAAAACTCTACTGTGCACTTGTACAGGTGCTATCTAGAGTACTTTCCCCACACCATGGGCAATCGGAGTACGTGGATTCATGTGGGCCAGCAAGCCAGGGATAGCTTTCTGGGGGAGTAGAACATGACCCAGATGATGAAACATACCTAGAACTTAGGCGAGAGAAAAGAGGAGGAAGCACAGAGAGCAGTGAACAAGTCAGCATGGGCCCAGTAGGATGCATGTTGGAAGAAAAGATGGTGAAGTTCACCATATTGTGGAACATCTGCAAAGTCCAGCAGAGGAGTTGGAGCATTATGCTCTTGGCAACAGGGAACTATGTGGATTATTGAGTAAGAAAGTGACATAAAGATATGATCAAGCAATAGAAGCATAGAATGGGTTGAAAGGAGAAAGGCCAAGATCAGGGAGACTGGTAATGTGGGCATGCAGTTGTGAGGGCATGGGCTGGGTGTTTACAGTGAGCAGAGAGTGCAAAGCCATTCCAGAAGATGGGTCAGGACCCACCCCAGTTACAGATGGGGTGCTCTTTGGATTCTCTTTAATTTCATTTATGAGGTTATCATAAAGTATTGTGAAGCTAATTGAGATATCAACTCATTTATGATCATTAATGTCTTCCCCATGAAGTGAGTCGAAGACACCAAAAGAAATAAATCCAGGCAATTCCATAGGTCAGCTGGGACCTGGGCAGGGAAGGAGCAGAGAACGAGTTGAAATCATCAACTGTGAGGCTTATTTTACAGTTATGGTGACTCCTATCTCACCTTCCTAAAACATTTTTAAAAATCAGGTACCTAAGAAGCTGGAGTTTCCAAACAATTTATCTCCAAATGTTCCTATAGGCCAGGTCTTCCTCTTTACCTCGCCTGCTCTCAACCCACCTCCAGCCAGTTCTATTAGGAAGGCGCAGGCAGACTGTGGGGTTTTACTTGAGGAAAGGGGACTACAGTTCTAGAAAAATAAATTCTAGAATATGCTATTGAGCCCTTGCATTCGAAAGCAGAATTAACTGACAGACCAAAAATAAAACCCTCATGGGAAGTAATGTTTAGGAAAATAAATCTTAAGACTACGAGGCAAAAGACAGAGCAGACCTATATAACACCTCCTCCTGGCCTTGTCAATAGCTGTGTGACCACAAGCAAGTCACTCCATGCTCTAGGCCTCAGTTTCCCAATCCATAAAATCAGAGGGACTAGAGAATCTCAGAAGTCCATGCCTCTGATAGTTATCCTCCAAACTATCAACTAAATACAGAAAAAGAGGTCACAAGCATCCATTTCTCTCTCTGTGTGTGTGTGTGTGTGTGTATGAGAGCTTTGCACTAGAACTTGTAATTTCCAGGACTGGAAATTACATGTTCTAGTGCAAAGCTCGACTTCCACATAGGGAAACATCTGCCCAAATTGTGGCCAAACCATAATCATGTAGAACATTTTGTAGGAAAAATCAAACTATATAGATGTGTTACCTCAAAAAAAAAAATGTCATTGACGTTGCAGCTAGGAAATTGCCCTGTAGTGTGTGGGTGTGTCCCCAAACAGCAGAGTGAGGGAATAAGAGGCCCAGGGAGCAGGGACGGATGACAAACACCTCTCGATGGTAGATTGCAGATGCTCCATGTGTTGATACTGCGTGTGATGCATGGCCGGCATTGATGCGCCTCCAGGAGAGGGCGAACCCTGATCCAAACCTGAGAGACAACCTGTAGAAGGTATGTAAGCGTTGGCCTTTTGGGGTTGATTTTTACAAAGACAGACCAGATCATTTTCCTCTTCTGAAAGACATCAAATAGGGTTCAGGTGTGTTTTGTTACCTCAAAAAAATTGTAATAAGCCTCAAAATTTGATTTCACAGGTGGGCTCTTCTGTAGAATCTTTTTTTACCACTGATAATTTGAAAGGCTGGCATCTCCTGTGCATTAGGGGTCAGTAGAGGCAGGAGCTCTTGGGGACCACTGTTCCCCAGAGAAAGTGTTTCTGAAACCAATCAGTGCAGCTCAGACTATTCTCTCCTTCTGAATCAATGGGAGAAAGCATCACGGGAGGCTTGCTGTTAAAACACGGGAGGGTGGCAGTCCTGGAGGGCAGAGACCATGCCCCTAAAGTGGTCCTGAATGGCCCCTGTCGTGAAGCTACTTGCATAGGAACACTTCATGAGCCTGTTGGAGGGGGAAGAATGGCCATTTCCTGCACCAAGTGTCATGCCAGGGAGCGACTCGGCCACTGAGTTACTGAGAACAGAGCTATACCCCTGAGTGCCTCAGCATCTGTGTAGCCATGTCCAAGGAGCAGAGAAACATGATGGCCAGTGTCCTTGGGGCCCACATCTGTTTACTGAACCAGGCCACTCGAGTTCTAGTTTCTGTGTGTGTCTGATGTTTGGGGGAGGGTGACATGATAAAAGCACTTATTGAGCACCTAGTGTGAACAAAATTTATACTTGGGATAGAGGCCCAGCCCCACCTTTAAGCAGTCTTGGGCTTCATGGCCAGATGGAATAAACCCATGTAACATCTGGTGATCAAAACAAATCGCATCAAGCCAGATCTCGATCTTCCTTGGCCTGTTTTCTTCTTTCTCATTAACTGAGTTCTTCCAGCCCCTCTTACAGGACCATTTTATCAACCACCATCTATAAACTTCCATCCTTTTAGCCAAGTAATTTAAAATAGTCATCCCTCAACTTCCAAAATCTACACAACTCAACTATAAATTCTGTCATCCTCCAAAAGCTTTCCACCTCTATTTCAATATTTATCAATCATTTAACATTTGCCATAAGAAATATTATTTTTAAAATAGTTCATACTCTGGGGTATCCAACGACTATACTATTCAGAAATTAAAATTTGCAGATTCAACTACACTTCTGAGTGCCTATGGTATACCTGGTACCTGATAAGTACCAGGGGTGCTAAAGGAAGTTAGTATGATCCTGGCTGTCAAGGACCTCACCGTCCTATTAAGGTGACAGTCGGGAACAAATGATTAATCCTCAGCTAGGTAAGGGGCAGCACAGGTAGGTGTAAAATACCAGGTGTCTGAGACAGAGGATGGATCCTTCCAGTGCCATCTGAGGGGAGTTTGTCCTTTCTAAAGAAGTCCCCAAGGGAGAAGCACTGCCAAATTATTTTCCAGAGCATTTTGCAAGCATGATCTCATTTTATTACAGAATGAGAAAGAAATGGCAGGTATGCCTCTGAGATGTCTGTCTCATTCACAGGTAGGATTTGCAAGATCAGCCCGACAGATCCTGAGCACATTTTCCAGGGAGAATTGCATGCCTGCACTTGAGGAAACTGTGAGGTCACATGACTTGCAAAAGGCCAAGCAAAAATTAGTGACTTCTGGTTCTCAGTCAGTGTTGTTTTCTTTTTTTTTCCCCACCACACCAATGGTACATCTCATTTCTAGAACTTTTGATAGACATGCTCATAATATTCTTGAAATTGCCTTTATCCATTATGAAAGTCTTGAGAATTTGTCCCAGAGGCCAGCAGTAAATTGCTATCACCTTCACTTTAAGGGTTTGCCAGCCTTGGGAAGCTGGTTATTTCATCTCCAATCTTCTTTGTGGCATTTGTTCCCACCTCTCAATCTCAACCCTCCCAGACACAGCCTGAAGGGCTGCAGCCCAGTACTTCAATATCACCCATACGACAAAGGTGCCTCTTAGTGTTTGTTTTGCTGAGGTTTTGTTTTTATGTTGTTTTGTTTCATGGCTTCTGGGTTCTGAGCAGGCACAGAATCGGAGCTACTAAATATGCAGACCAGGGGGACAGAGGCTGAGCCACCAGGCTTCTGCAGCCACCTGTATGATGTAGGACAGATGAGGCTAGATGCCAGAGGAAGTCTCAGGAAGCAGGTTTATTTAAGCTGCAATGGTCCAGAGGGGCTGATTCCTAAAAATCTCTGGATCCCAAGTCTTGAAATTCTTTTAGATTTCTACTCAGTGGGATAGTTACAGGACAGTGGGAGTGGGTGGGAACATAACAGTTACTCTTTGTCCCATATTCTTAGGCTAGAGAGAGGTTTCACACATTTTGTCTACAAACCTGGCATTTACAAGAAAGAGGAAGCTTCAAACCACATTTGAGCTCTTTGCAGAACTCCTGTGAAATCCTGTTGATAGTCTTGTAAAAGTCTTTCTGACAAGAGAAGAAGCTTAATTATGGTGGGGGAGGGTTCTTTGGGGTGGGGGGGACGTGCTCTGCTTCATGTAAGCCCTGCCTGATGGATAAGCTCAGCCTCACCCGCACCTTGGCCAGTAAGCCCAGCTTGCCCTGCCTCTACTAGTATACAACTCAGTGAACAAAATCTAGGGTATCTTAACAACCAGCAATTTTCCCTTTGGATTGCCAAGACTTTCGGATAAATGTTGCTTTGGTTTGCTAAACTGAAGGACCCTCTTTGTACATATGAAAAATAACACAGGCTCATAGGCAGCATGTGTTGTCCCCTTTGATATCCAGGACCAGGTCCCAGGATAAAAAGAAAGGAAGACAGGTCTGTGCTGCACCGTGCAGCCAGCCCTGGGTGGAGAGAGCAGCAAAATGAGCATCAAGAGACCTGATGCGATTCGCAGCTCTGCCGAGATTAATGAGCTGTGTGTCCTGGAGAGTTGATTTCCTTAGACAGGGGAGGCGGGCTGTGATCCCGAAACGCCCTTCAATTCTGCGTTTATGATGCTAAGGTTAAAATACAGCTCTGCCAAGGAGATGGCTGGGTGGCCAGCACTCGTTATACGAGGAACAAGAAGCAATGGTCCAACAGAGATGCCCTCCCAGTCTGACAGATGTGCGCTGGGGATTGACATTATGGGAGAACACCCTGCTTTGTCAGTGGTGCAAGGATGCCCCTTCCATTCTCACCCTGCATGAACCCTGTCTGCAGAGGTGTCTGGGGGCAAGCTGACTTCCGGGTGTCTCTGCGGTGCATTGTTGACTTCCACTCCCCAGCTTGGGATGAGGCTGAAGGCTGACCCACACACAGGATGCCTAACAGTAACTGCTTCTCCACCTGAGCCAGAGGGAAGGGACAGTCTTTTGTTACCTTTCAATCTAAAAGACTAAGCAAGGCCTCATTCTTTGTTCATGCATACCCGCAGACTCTTGGGGTTTTGTTTCTCCTGTGTTCTGAGCTTTGTTAAAGTTGTCCCTAGAGGGGCTGGGTTGAGGCTCAGGAGTAGAGTACTCGCCTCACTCGCCTCGCACCTGCGAGACCTGGGTTCGATCCACAGCACCACGTAAAAATAAATAAGTGAAATAAAGGTATTGTGTCCAACTACAACTAAAATAAATAAATAAAGTTGTCCCTAGAACAGTGTGATGGAGACCAGTGTTTTCAGATTTCAATGTACCTCCAAATCAGCAGGTTTCTTACTTGAAAGCAGATTTCAACTCAGCAGGTTGGGGATGAAACATTCCCGGCAAGCTCCCTAGTGATGTCCATGAAGTTGGACCATGGACCAGACTGGGCGTTGAAGATGCAGAGAAAAGGAAAGAGTCCCCATTTGTAGGTTGCTACAGAATACTCAGTGCTCATGTGTCCCTGAGTTCAATTTACCATACCAAAAAGAAGGAGGAGGAGGACGAGGAGGACGAGGGGGACGAGGGGGAGGAAGAGGAGGAGAAATCATCTTTAGCCTCAATTTTTCATCTTTTGGCAACATCATTTTCTAACCTGTGTGTTTCAAGGTACCATTGAAAGAGCCAACTGTGTTAACTTAGAAAATGTGCAAATGTAATAGTGTAAATGTTTTCCACTCTCCCAGGCAGCTACTGGAGCATGTGATTCTGGTATACTAAAGAATCTCTAGCAGAGTGTGTTAAACTTGCATGCCCTAGGAATCACCAAATATTCCAGTAAACGGACCTTGAGTAGGCCTAGGCACATGCAATTTAACAAAGCACCCAGGTGATTCCATGCTGTGAGTTCTCAGACCATGCCTTGAAAAATCTGTTCCTAGTGGTAAGAGTGCTCTCCTACCCGTAGTATGGAAATTGAAGACCATATGATACAGAACAGGGATTCTTGGAGCTGAGAACTTATTCAAGGCACTTGGTTCCCCATAGATTGATATTTGTCAAACTTTAATGTGCATGGAACTCACTTGGGGAATCTTGTTGAAAGACACATTCTAATTCCATCAATCTGGGGTAAGACCTGAGATTCTGCATTTCTAACAAGCTCACAGCTGATGCCAATGCTGGTCCGGGAACCACACTTTGAGTAGCAAGAACCTAGACTTCTCAGCCCTGGCTGCATATTAGAGCCATTTTTAAATACATGGGCATTAAAAACTTCGATTTTTTAAATTAGTCTGGGGTAAGGCTCATGCATTTTTTAAAATCACCCAGGTGAGGTAATACACAGCCATTTAGAACTCTCTAGCCCAGGTGTGTCCAAGGCACTGGCTGAAGAGTAGTGACTGGGCAGTCAGCCCAGGATCCACCTGTTCATGCTGGTCTAAGGTACAATTAAATGGCTCTTAGGCTGTCTCTTCCATCTCTTGACACAGATGTAACTCAGGTTTCTGTAGGGAAAGTAAATAGCAATTGCCATGGATTAGAAGCTGAGGGCTGAAAGGCTTAATACAGAATGATATAGAAATCATCCTGCGTCTCAATTTTCCATCTTTTGGCAATATCAACGCCCACCTATCCATTTCAAGGTGGGCCAAGTGAGTTAACTTATAAAGTGTGCAAATGTAGCCATGTGAACGTTTTCCACTGCTCTGGGCAGCCTCTGGACCACGTGCCTCTGCTGCGCAGTCGCAGTGGAGCGCTTTATACAAAGACTGATGTAGTCACTACTCCGGATCAGACTGTCACACTCTACTTCCCAGCTTCTGGGTGTGGTTTTTCCTGGCTCTCTGCTTGGCGCTCAAGGGTATGGACCAAATGAGGTGCTGACCTGTCTCTTCTCGCCCCTGGCTAGGTGGCAGTGGGGAGCAGTCACCACCACCAGGCCCGAAGGCCGAGGAGGGCTCTGAGGCTGTGCTCCCCAGGCACAGGAGCGTGTTCCACATCGAGTGGTCGTCCATTCGGAGGAGGAGCAAAGGTGTGAGCAGTCTCCCCCTCGTGTGCAGTCCCTGGCTTCCTCATCTCTAATAAAACAGGGGCAGTGACAGTACCTGCTTCACAGCGTGGTGGGGAGACCTATGAAGGTCAGGTTCATTCTTTTTATGTGACCACTGACCAAAGACACCATTTTCCTTGGTCTGAACACACCCTGCCTACGGGCCAAGCTGTGGGCTAACACAGGGCTAGGCCAGGGGTCTCAGCCTGGCTGCATGTATCCCATCCCCAAAGCTTTAATTTAATTCATCTGAGGAGTAGCTGGGCTGGCCTGGGGTCCTTTAGAGCTCTTTATGAGATTCTAATTTACCACCAATTCAAAAACCACTGGTCTGGGAGATTATAGTTGAAAAGGCCTCATCTGAGACAGTGGTGGGAATATCAAGGCCAAGGGAACAGGAGGAGGGTGATGGTGAGGAGGGGACCAGGGGGAGCAGCCAAAGCTGAGCAGGTGAAGAAGCCAGAGACCTGGAAGATGAGGCAAGTTCTGGTAAACAGGGGGAGTCTGGAGAGATCAGCTGCAGTGTGGAGTAGCCTCGTGGAGAGACAGAGAGCCAGTCCCAACCCCAACCCCCAGAGAGGGGAGCAGATTGCCTAGGGTTGCACAGCTAGCCAGAGGCACTGTAGGAGGTAGAGATGACTCCTCAGGTAGTTCCCCCCTTACAACACATGCCTCCCTGAAGATGCATCAGTATTTCCTTCCTCCAGTTCATCTAATCTCTCCCTTGCACATCAGAAGTCAGCAAGGCCAGAGAAATGGGCCTGGGGAGGTTATAGGAAGATTTACAAGGTGGAGAGAGAATTGCAGATAACTGAAGGGCCCCCAAGCCCTTTAGTGTGTCTTTGACAGGGGCCTCTGACATGGTGTGAAAGAGCATTGTCTCAAAAGGTCAATAGCTTCCTTCCTAATATCTCTTGGGATGGTGAGCTGGGGGCATGGTAGAGTGGGATCCCATGCAGAGGAGCCTGGAGATGGAGTGCTTGGGAATTCCACAGAATGGCAGGCAGAGGAATCTCCAGACAGAAGCAGTGGGTCTGTCAGGAGATCACACATGATCTGAGTTATAGGACTTCTCTCTGCTCCTCCTTTCAAAACTTCCAAAATTAATGTGTTTCTCCTACGTGACATAACATCCCAACCACACTGGTATTTTCAGCCCGTGCTCCTTCAAAAGTGGGAACACAGTGCCTTTGACACATCCCTTTCAGCCTAGACACCCAGAAGTCTCAGGAATACAGAGTGGCAACCGCCAATGCAGTCTCAAAAATACAGGAGGGCAGAGTCCAGCCTGCCATTCTCACACTTGACCACAAGAGGGAGCCATAGCACCAAGACGGAAACTTGCAAGGGCAGATCATTCAGGGTGCCTAAAACCCTACTGAAATTGGTCATCCACAAAAAATAAGCTGTCCTCAATAATCAAAAGTGTTTAGAGTCACATTACAAGAGTTTTCTAGAATTAAAAGTATACACAAAAGGTTATATGAAGTATCTACATGGATATCACTTATCCTGATCCAAACAGCAATTGCCATCTATTAAAATGCCTAAAATTGGGGCTGGGGATGTGGCTCAAGTGGTAGTGCACTCGCCTGGCATGCGTGCGGCCCGGGTTCGATCCTCAGCACCACATACAAACAAAGATGTTGTATCCACTGAGAACTAAAAAATAAATATTAAAAAAATTCTCTCTCTCTTTAAAAAAAAAATGCCTAAAATTCAGAGACAAACATCAAAAAATAGAGAATAAGAGAGAAAGAGACAGAAACATAGGGACAGAGAAAACCAAAGACCAATCACCCTGAAATCAGCCAGCTAGGGAGAGTCAGAGTCAAGTTCAAACCCAGATCCTTCATGGCCCAGGCAGCCTACTGCTTCATAAGGAGCAAGTGAAGGACGGCAACCCCATCCAGTCCCTTCCTCTTGCACTGACTTGTGGCATAGGAGAAAGAACTCTGGTTTCAGGGGTCACAGGAAAGTCACATCCCTCAGGGCTCCTGTTTCCTCATTTAATGAACATAGGAGTCGAGCTACATTGGGGCTTCTTCATCAAGGGTCAGTGAACTCCCGATACTCCTCTGAACTCCCTATATTCCTTGTAAAACATCCTGTTTACATGATCACGTACATTTTTTTCCCAAAGGGAGGACCCAAATGGACCTAAGACCAGTAAAGGAAGGTACAATATGCCCAAGAGTCTAACTCGAGCCTTGTACTAAAGTACTGCTGAGGTGCCCGAACTGATGATTCTCTTTCCTTCCTTCTTCAGTGTTTGGAAAAAGCGAACACCAGGAGAGACAAGCCAAAGAGCCATTTCCCTATCCATACCGGAAGCCCACCATTGAGCTGCTTGTGAGTACAGGGTGTCCCAAATCAGGGACAGCACCTTCCAGTCACACCACCTGTAGTAGATTAGGGAGCTGAGGTCTGTCAAGGAGATTTTCTCATTTAGGCAAATTTTTCTTGAAATTCATATTTTCAGACATGTAGGGACATTTAGATAAAATGGTCACGGTTTGCTTTGTGAACTTTCATATTCCTTTTATTTGAATTATCTCTTATCAGATTTCCTCTAAATCAAGAATTTAGGAAATAAGATCATGCCAATTTTCAAAAATGGAATCTTCACTTATTCAAGTTCATACCTTTATATTCATGGCCAGTTCAATTTTAAAGAGTAGACATGCAGAAGTGAAAACGATTTCTTCTAGAAAGAAGAGTATGGTATATATATTTAAAATTCTAGACATCTGTGTTTAACCTTAACCCTACTGTTTGACCTTGACCTTTGCAAATAAGAATCTCTGTATGCCTGAGCCCTCTACCACAAATGAGAATGAAAATGTCCTCTCGTCCCTCATTAAATGAGGTGGCCTGTCAAACAAAAGAAACAGGTCCCTGAGGACCACACACATCAGTGTGAAAACCACAGGTGACAGGAGGCTCTTGCCCATCTCTTCTCCCTGGGCAGGATCTGAACACCATGGAGGAGAGCTCCGAGATTAAGGTAGAAACCAGCACGTCCAGGACTTCCTGGATCCAGAGCTCCATGGCCGCCAGCGGGAAGAGGGTCAGCAAAGCCCTCAGCTACATCACGGGAGAGATGAAGGAATGCGGAGAGAGACTTAAAGGTACAGTTTTGTGACAGCAGCCCTAGATCTACACCTAAAAGGTCACCTTGGCCACCCCAGGAAATGCACTGCCATAATGGGGGCTGAGGAGGTGTTTCTGTAGACTAAGAATGAGCTCTATCTAGGGTTTTCCAGGAAAGCTAGGATTTGCTGTTACATAGTCTCTTGGGATATAAATACAGGTACAGATACATGTGCAAACTCTCATTTCTAAATGGCATAGTCCTGCGCTCCCAAATGTCCCACTCAGATAAACATTTGTAGTGCTGGGATTCTAGAGAGTTAGCAGCATTCTAGAAAAATGCCTTCTGGCTGACGTACAGGAGAACTGTCTACCAGGTCAATAGATTCTCTCCAGCAATGCCCCTGAGCTCAGCTCCTGGGTGTGGCAACCTCTAGGAAGCAAGAGAGTTTTCTGGAAACTTTATGCCACTCTTATGGGAAGCATAGACCACACAGGGGACCTAACCCCCACCGCAGGAAGGACAACCTAGAGACGACGTCCAGCTGGCAAGGGGTCCCAAGGTTTTGGGCAGTCAATGCTCGCCCAGGTTCTCCTTTGACACTCTTCTGTGGCAGGTGACAGCAGGTGGCTGGCTCCCTAGAAGCCCACTTTGGATTTTCAGAGAGATCCCACACTCCCTGGGCCTGGCCACCAGACCTCGCCCGGGACCTCCACACCGAGCCTTTGCCAAGTCCCTCCCTGTTCCGTTTCAGACAAATCCCCAGTGTTCCAGTTTCTGGACTGGGTGCTCCGGGGCACGTCTCAGGTGATGTTCGTGAACAACCCCCTCAGCGGCATCCTCATCGTCCTTGGCCTCTTCATCCAGAACCCCTGGTGGGCCATCTCGGGTTGCCTGGGCACCATTGTGTCCACCTTGACAGCCCTCATCCTGAGCCAGGACAGGTAAGTCCCCAGAGACCCAAAGTCCAAGTGTAAGGCCAAGAGGGCACTCCTCCGAGAGGACCCCTTCTCACCCCTCAGCTCAGAAACCCCTCAGAATAAGAGCACTGGTAGCTGAAGGCAATATTTCCTAGGGACATACACATTTTTCTAGAGAAAAATGCAGGGGTGATAGGGCTGTGTCCTCACCCAGTCACTCCCATAATGATGGCCTGTGAAGCATGTGGCAGGAAAAGGCCCTGGGAGCCAGGAGTGGTAACGCACGCCTGTAATCCCAGCAGCTCAGGAGGCTGAGGCAGGAGGATCGCAGAATCAAAGCCAACCTCAGCAACTTAGCAAGACCCTTTCTCTAAATAAAAATATTAAAAAGGGCTGGGGATGTGGCTCAGTGGTTAAGTGCAGAAAGGACAACCTAGAGACGACGTCCAGTTGGCAAGGGGTCCCAAGGTTTTGGGCAGTCAATCCCCGATACCTAAATAAATAAATGAATAAATAAATAAATAAATAAATAAATAAATAAAAGGCCTTGGAAAACCTCCACTTCACCAGCCCCATTTGTCCCCAGGTCAGCAATTGCAGCAGGACTCCATGGCTACAACGGAGTGCTGGTGGGGCTGCTGATGGCAGTGTTCTCAGACAAAGGCGACTATTACTGGTGGCTTCTGCTCCCTGTCATCGTCATGTCCATGTCTTGGTAAGTCTATTCTGAGGTCATGGGTTCAAATCCAAAGGCCACTGTTCTTTTTACCTTGACCCTGTGACTGCCCATCCGTTTTTAAGTGCCTTTTGTTTAACTTGCACGTCAGAGACACCCACTGGAAACCTTGACTGACATGATGCTGCTGCAGCCCAGTGTACAGGTTACCTATACACCGGGTCTCAGCTACCATCCTTTCTTCTTTTGTTAAGATCTAAAAGGGTTTCTGCTTAACCCTGCCAGAGCACAGAGCAAGAAACTGAGATCCACACAGGGCAAGAACCACACTATGGGGGCCTGTCAGTTTCCGGCAATCTCCTCCCTCCTGCTCCCACATCTTTCCTCTGTCCCTGGGACCCAGACCAGGGTAGGCTGAAGGACAGCCGTGGGGCAGAGCCCTCAGAACACCAGGCTCCTCCCTCACCTCCAGAAAACACCGGGCACCCTGGCCATGAGGCTAGTGAGCTTGGCCACTCAATAAACACTAGCTAAATGACTGAGTGACTGTGATTCCCTCCCCACTGCTCCCCCAACCTGTCCTCTCTCCTCCTGCCTGGGGAGGGAGCTGTATGAGGAAGTAGTGAGACTTCTGTCCTTTAAAACATCTCCCAGAAAGCCCTCTTTCTGGAGGTGAGTGTAGGCATCCCTTCCTGTACCCTGCACAGGGAGGGGGCCCAGGGAAGGCCCTGCCCCAGGGCCAGTCATGCTCGGGAAGGACCCCAGCAGGCTGCTTTTCTCTGGGAAGGTGCAGGGGTCTCCTGCTGCTGAGTGGCCCGGTGGGGGAGCCAGACAGCTTCCTGACCACCATGTCTTGTGCTTCTGCCATCAGCCCCATCCTCTCCAGTGCCCTGAGCACCATCTTCAGCAAGTGGGACCTGCCAGTCTTCACGCTGCCTTTCAACATTGCTGTGACCCTGTACCTGGCAGCCACAGGCCACTACAACCTCTTCTTCCCCACGATGCTGCTACAGCCTGCATCCTCTGTGCCCAACATCACCTGGTCGGAGATCCAGGTGCCCCTGGTAAGTGTCATGGAAGGAGGAAGGGCAGTGTCGGTACAAGCTCAATATCAAAGTGGTATCTGCTTATTGTGCACACAAGGAATATCCTGAGTGATAATTCCTGACAGTTATACAATCCAAGACATGCTTTGCACACATTACATGACCTACCCTCCTTGCCTCCTTCTAAGGGCTAAAAGGATTATTTCTGGTCCCACCTGTTATAACACAGAGAGCAGAATGGAGGCCAAGTTTGGAGACCCACCTGAGATCACACAACAAATTAGTAAGGAGCAAACTCCAGACCCCTGACTCCAGGCCTGGGTTCTTTTCTTTTTTCTTTTGTTGAAAAGTATTTGTGAGCAGGGCATGGTAGGAAGCACATGCCTATAATCTCAGCAACTCAGAGGGCTGAGGCAGGAGGATTGCAAGTTCAAAGCCAGCCTCAGCAATTTAGCAAGGTTTTAAGTAAATTAGCAAGACCCTGTCTCTAAATTTAAAAATGTTTAAAGAAAGGTTTGGGATGTGGCTCAGTGGTAAAGTGACCCTGGATTTAATCTCGGGTACCAAAAAAAAAAAAAAGTATTTTTGATGCTTTACTCTGATTTTAATGCAAGTGTGTCTTTTCTTCCCTCAATATCATTGAATCATTAAAAATGTGTACATTATGCTACCATGTATTGGCTTAAAAAGTCACAGTTATAACCTCCAGAGCTTATTTCATTTGCTCTCTGAGGCTGGCTCATGTTTTAAAGCGCAGGTGTTCCCCCAATACGAACTATATATAACAGAGCTTTCAAAACTGTTTTTTTTTTCCTCTTTAACAAGTATTCTGTATAAAATGCTGACCTCTGGAAGTCTGCCAAGATAATGAATAAGAAGCTACACTAAAAGCACTAAATCAGCTTGAGAAACATGCCCATCAGCCTTCTTATCTAACCAGGCACGTTTTCTCCGAGGCCTCCTACTTTCTATTACACTAAAAGGCCCCCCAGTCTGACACTCACCCTGAAACTTCATTATTGAAATTCATCACCACAACACCACTTGGGCTTGTTGAAGGAACTTTTGGAAATAATGAAGCCTGGTGTCTCTCCACATTCCACAACATGGGTCAAAAGAGCCCTCCATTTGCACTAAGAAGCATCATTAGTTAGCAAAAGAAACCTTTGTGATAGCCCCGTTTTGTTGATTGTTATGTTTTTCCAAGGTCCTTCTTGGGTCAGAGGTGAGAAAAGGTGCTGTGTTGGGGTTCAGCTCCCCAGATTTCCCAGTCATGGTATTTTCCCAATTCAGTTCTTTTGGAAGCAAAATTACTCAAGCAGTGTGTTATGAGATGATGTCAGAAGTTGCAAGTTTAAGATATTACATTCTCTGCACCACGTTTTCAATTGGAAAAATATTTTCATCACTTTATAGAAATGAAAAAAAAGAAGAATTCTGTATACATAATTTAGAAATCCAAAACTCAAGGCAGGGGGAGCCAATTTGTGGTGGTCATTCCTTAAGAAACACCTTTCTGGCTACCTGAATGAATTATGATAATGATTCATTTATTGGATCGTCTTGACAATTCTAATTAGAGTCCAGTTTCTGAAAAATATGTGGTCAATGTCAGAGCAAGGGTCTAAAACTGCCAACAGGTTTGAGCCTCCCTGAGTTCCTCTGTTCTCGTGGCCATTAGAAAGGCTCCTCAGCTGGGGTAACTATGCAGGGATCAAACTACCCAGTACTACTGCCTCTGTCCCCAACTCTGCCACCTGTCCCCTTGCCCCTGGATGGCCATGCCAGAGCTCCTACTCTGTTCTCCATCCTGGAGTACAGGGTACTGGCCTGCAGGGTTAGCCCACTAGGCCTGTGCTCCTGTCTCCGTATCCTCTCACTAGGTGTGAAGCCCATGAGCTGCAAGTTCTCCGTCCCCTGGCACCCACAGGGACAGTCTTCTCAGAGGGCTCAGATTGACAGGAGACTTGCCATAATAGATAACACAAATTCACCCCAAGATTCTGCTTCTCCCCAGCTTACTGTCCCAGGGGCAGGCAAACCCAGCACATGCCAGTGTGGCCCAAGCCACTTCCACTCAGCACTTCACTGTACCAAGGGCCTTTGGCCAAACCCTCCAAGACAAAGGACCCAGTGGCAGTCACCAGGGAAGCCTGCATCCTAGTATCCTCCTCTCTGACTCCAGGGCATCTGTGCAAGTACCTACAAGATTTCCAACTTTCTTGAATGCTCTGTCACTCTCGAGTCCCATTGGACCTCAAAATACCTGGAGAACAGAGTCAGGCAGGGTACCCCAGGTTAACCAACAAGAGAGCAGATGGCGGACATGCCACCTTCTCCAGGCCCCTTCTGTGTCTTGTAGTTCAGCCAGACAAGACTCATGTCACCACACCCAGACATGTGGTTCTTGGAAATACAAAAGTACATTTTCCATCTTCTAGTTAGTCTTCTTGTCATCTTATTTTGTTTGAAAAACATGATGAATGTTTTGATCAGAAATCCATTGCTTTGCTAATGAATAATGCCCTCGAGTGAAAGTTTTTCAGTTTCTCTTCACAAGGAAGATGAGAGTCTTACCCTCCTGTTCCTAAATGAAGGAAACTCAACATCCTGACCCCTGGGTGTTCCAAGAACTCAAAGTTAAGATGATCCTTCTTGTATTCCTCTTAGAGTTGACCTATTTGAGTCACCTTGGAAACCAGTGGCAGTATGTGTTGGTGCTGAATCTTGGAGCTAAGGTTGAAGTCATCTCTTTGGCTTCCCTAATAATGTGACTCTGTATCCACAGCTTTTGAGAGCCATCCCCATTGGGATCGGCCAAGTGTACGGCTGCGATAACCCCTGGACCGGAGGCATTTTCCTCGTGGCCCTGTTCATATCCTCACCTCTCATTTGCTTACACGCAGCAATCGGATCCACCATGGGGATGTTAGCAGGTCTGTGTCATCTCTTTCCCTTGTTAATGAGCTGCGGGGACCCCAGTGCCTGGAACCAGCTGTAAAGAAACCAGGGACACGTGTCTTTATCGCCACATCTGCACATTCCCAGAATTCCAAATTCCCCCTCCTTCCACTGCATTGTGTTTCTCCACTATTGGTGGCAGCGCCCTCTAGCTCCTCCAGGTAAAAGTGGTCCTTGAGAAAGACTGGTGCCAGTCACTGACACCGTAGTGTAAATGTAAAGTTTGGGAGAGATTTCCTCTAGGCATTTTCAAAATCTTATCATCCCCAATGACAAAAAGGAGCTGGATCTGTTTGCAAAACGATTCCCTCCCTCCCTTCCCTCCTTCCTTCCTTTCTTTCTTCCTTTTTCTCTTTGGCAGGAGAAGGACATTCTCTGGACTGTTTAAATCAGATTTTAGAGTCTTTTATCAGAGGCTCTTTGCAGCTCCGAACAGCTTAACCACTAGAATTCATGTGGCCCTGTGGCTATTTATTCTGTTTTAGATGTAGTTTCACTGAATAAAATCAGAAGTCCTTTTTTTGCATAAATACCTAAGAGGATTGCTGGTTCTGGGCTGTGAGGACTGTGGCGGGTGTGGGGACAGGCTCACGAGCCCCATAGGATCCATGACTCAGTACTGACACCTGCCTTCTCTTCCAGCGCTCAGCATTGCCACGCCCTTTGATGCCATCTACTTCGGCCTGTGTGGCTTCAACAGCACTCTGGCATGCATTGCCATTGGAGGCATGTTCTACGTCATCACCTGGCAGACGCATCTCCTGGCCATTGCCTGTGGTAGGTACCTCTGACAGTGTCCCCAAAAAAGATCCACCCTGTGAAAATTCTGCTACTCCCCAAAGATAAATAGGGGGATCTGTTTGCTTTATAGCTGGGCTTTTAGTTAAAACTGTCTTCAATAGCTGCCGAAGGATCAAATGGTTACATGCAAAACTGTTTTCTCCATGGACACGATATTTCTGTCTCATGGTGGCAGGTTTGTTTTGAGGTTATGGCTAGTTCATTGTTGAATTATTTCATTGTTGAACTGCGAATTTCCTGAACAGTGATTGGAGCTGACAAGTGTCTCTTAAGCAAGTTAAGCCTTACACATGAAATCTGGCGATTTACATCACATACAGCATTGAAACTTAAAGATCCAAACATTGACCATAATCCTTTCAAATGATCCCTCTGAGTTACATGCTCAGTGCCCCAGGAACCTGGATTAACCATAACAATTGGCATATTTTTATATTTTCATCCTTGAACATTTTTTATTTCTTGATGTTTTATGAAGGAAAACCGAATAAAACTCCTTTTGAAACAGAGATTTAAAACAGAGATGCCTCAGCACAGCATAGATTCCGGAATATGATCTCCATTAACTTAAAGAATAAGTTTACAATCAAAAGCTTCCCAAATATTCTTTACTGGGGAAGATGTTCTGGATCAGATATTACCATAGACTTGTTTCCTTAATATAATTGGTATATATACTGTCTTTTCTCTCTTTTTTCTTTTTTATTATTTTTTAGTTGTAGATGGACACAATATCTTTCTTTTATTTAGTTATTTTTGTGTGGTGCTGAGGATCAAACCCAGTGCCTCACATGTGCTAGGCAAGCGCTCCACCACTGAGCCACAACCCTAGCCCCCAAGATATGTTTTCTTTTGTACTTTATGATAGTCACTGCAAACATGAAGAAGGCAAACCCTGAAGTAGGTGTGAAGGGTTAGTGCTGCTGTATTTTTCTTCCTTCCTTTTAAAAATTATTTTGTGACCCCAAAAATCTCCATTGTAAAGCCAGGCACTGTAGGTACTTATGTAATTATTTTTATTTGCTCATATTGACCAAATAAGCTTAGCACTAAAGAGGCATTTTAAGTGTCACCTGGCTAGCCTACACCAGCTCTATGAGGCTGGTTTTTTTCCATTTTGTGAAGGTGAAAAAAATTCCTCAAAGAACCAGGGCCTGGATGAGGATGTGACAAATGAGGCAGCTCAAATGCAAAACTGCAGGAGGTGCTCACTGTTAGTGTCCTGCAGGTGATGAGGTCTACATGTCTCCATGACCCTGAGCTTGAAGGCCACCTTAAATTTTATACCTCACTCACCTCTCCAGAGTTCCAACCTCCAAAAAGGTTAACATGTCAGATGTTACACCAGTGATTTTCAACCAAGGGTGATTTCCCCCTTACCTGGGGACATTGGCAATGTCTGGTGGCATTCTTATTTGTCACACCTAGGGGAAGGAAGGGATTTCTATGGGCATCTCCTGGGTAGAGGCCAGGGCTGCTGGTAAACACCCTACAGCGCAGACACATTGTAGCCTCCACAACAAAGACTGTCCATGTGCCGTGGTTGTGAAAGCTGACACGGGTCATCTCATTCAATCTTCACTACAACTTCAAACCATGTGGGTCCAATTACCATCCCCACTTCACAGATAGGGAACTAAAGCTAAAGGAAGTAAAATAAATTGCCCAGAATGAGGTCTGTAAAGACTGTGTCTGTGCTCCTTGGAGGGGATCAGATTCCTTCCTGAAGCCAGTGCTTTCTCTTCGGGCTGAAAGATCCAGAATAGTCATGGTCCTTTTCTGCAGTCACACAGAGAGGGACAAGACAGGTGAGGTGGAAGGCTCCTTCCATCGCAGCCTGCTCTATCTGTCCCACAGGACAGACAATTCTCCCTCCCTTCAACCCAGACGGGCTGCATGTCCTCCACCCCCTCTGCTGACTATCCTTCCTCCTCCCTCCTCACAATGCAGGCCCTGCAACTGCAGATGAGCAGACATAAGGTTTTCAGAGAGTTTTCCTGTTGGTAACAGATCAAATTTGATTAAAGATATCAAATCTGAGAATAACTCCTCCAGTTCCTGGGCCAATAGCTGAATCTGATGTGTTGGGCTCTCAGGCCACCGCCTCAGCCTCCACCTCAGCCTCCACCTCAGCCTCCACCTCAGCCTCCGCCTCACCCTCCACTCTTCACCAGCCACGCCCAGAGCCCCACTCAGCCTTCTGGCTCCCCTATTATTGGGGGTCAGGCGGCATTGGATTGACCTTTGACCCTTCCATCTGCCCTGCTCTTTCTAACCTCAGCCCTGAGAGGCCACTGGGCACAGTGGGTAAGAGCCCTGCCTTGGAATCAGGTGACCAGGGCTCAGTCATTTGTCAGCCATATAGTCCTAAGCAAGTCCCTTGAACTCTCAGTGCCCGATGCTAACTGCCCACCTCATAGAGCTGTTGTCTAGAACAGACCAGATAATTCATGAGAGCAATGAAAGTAATTCCCAACACCTAGGGAGTGCCCCCCGAAGTGCTGACCGGGTTTTCTGTGGTCAGTAACCTCTATTAATTAACCAGGATTCAAATGATGCAAAGGATGCCTGGGCTTCTCCTGTTCCCTCTGAAAGAAACTGGCAGGTGCAATGCATGGAACTACTGCGTGCCCGCGACCTCCTCATAGAGGTCATCTCTTAATCTCTCCTGCTTCCATCTTGAAACCCTACCCCAAACAACAGGGACTTCTCTAACTCAGAGACAGCGTGACAGTCGCTCTATGAAAGCTCTCTGAGCCTCAGTTTTCTCATTTGTGAAATAAAGACAATAATAGTGCTTCCATCATAGGAACGCTGAGGGACATGGTTGATGTTCCTACTAAGGGGGCACACGGTGACTATTATGGGTTCACTGTTGTCGGTGTCCTAGGGACAATTGGGACTTTCTCTGTTGAGAAGTGAAGAGCTCAGAGGCAGAGCCCAATTACGCCGTCCCATTTCCATCACTTGTCACCCCTTGCCAGCACCTGGCTCTGGCCAGTGGGCAGTGTGGTCAGGCCCTCCTCTCCAGCACCCAGAAGTCAAGGCCGTCAGCAACATTTGGTGCCCCAAGAGCTGACAGAATGCGGCTTCTCCCTGGAAGCTCATATTATGTTAATGCTTTGTCATGAAATACTCCAGCAGGGAATTGGGGGACTCGCTTGCCTTTGCTGTATAGTAAAATTTTCATTTATGGTTTATGCTGTTAAATGTTCCTTTACTGGAATGCAAGGTGGTGGGACCCAAGAGAACTGTAACAGCCAAATTCTGGCCTTTTTTAACAAAGTTCATCTGCCGACTTAGCTGTACTGGTATTTGCGTGGAATTTAACACTTTTAAACCTGCCAAGCAATGGAAACATAACTCAGTGATTTTTTTTTTAAATCTGAGATAGCATTAGTGGCATAAAATTAATGAAGAGAAAATATGTCGACCAAGCCTGAGAAGCTGTGAAATAGTTATTGGATATTTATGGATGGTTCTTTCTTCCAGCACTGTTTGCAGCCTACCTGGGGACTGCCCTGGCCAACATGTTATCTGTGGTGAGTCAACATCTCTGGGCTGCAGATGTGCCCACAGTTCCCTCTCAGCTTCCCCCAAACTTGTTCAAAACCCTCCTTCACAAACCCTTCCCAATTCTCCCTCTTGTCTCTAACCACATACCTAGAACATAGTAAGTGCTCAAGAAATAGCAAATGAATGAAGCCCTAAGGTCACAGCCTCAGCACAGGGGAAATTAGATCTGGGGCTTTGCATCTGAATGGCAGAAACTCTGAGAGTTCCCTGTTACCCCCACAAGATGAAAGGAGTTGGTTTTCAGAAGTTCAAATGTCAACTGTTGCTCAATCAAATCCCATTGTCAGTGAGCCCAGGGAGCTTCCCGCAGGGCAATTAGAAGTGTGTTCTCTTATAAATCGAACTCTTTTCTCATGCACTATTCTTTAGGATTATTTTTAAATCTTTATTATTTGTTTTTTATAAGTGTCTATAGATCATCTGCCCACCTGGCTTGTGGGTCAATGAGCATCTTTGTCTCATAGCAAATAGCACAGTTCATGGGGGTGAGGGGGTGTTGCTGGCAAAGATCTCAGGAAACAGGGAGAGTCAAGCATTAACCAGCAGAGAGAAGCCAGAGTGGGCAGCTATGCCCAGCAGCCCCAGGGCCCCTTCTATCTGCGCTCACATTGGGTGGTACGTGAGGTCAGGAGGAGCTATTGGCCAGCCCTAGGTCCAGCACATAGTCTTGAGGGCTCAGCATGCAGTTGCTGCCTCCTGTTCTTAGATAAGGACTCAAGGGACACATCACATGAACAACCAGGAAAATTCCTGTTGCTCCTGCAGGTGGGACGGTGGGGACATTCTGCTCATGGCTGTCAAAATTCCTCCTTCTCCTCTAATGAAAATGGGTGTTTTGAACTTAACCTAGGACAGTATTTTCTAAGCAGTGGAGTTAGCTTTCCCTGATACTATCTTGTCTCCCCCAGTGGACTGAGCTCTTCCTCTTGGGCCTATCACATGGTGAGCACTCTGGCTATGACACTTGATACACAGTATTGACACATGTCTGGTATTTGTCGGTCCTCTTCCAGCTTTAGCCCATGCGTTCCTTCAGAACAGGGGCCCTGTCCTGTTCTTCTCTTCATCTTGAGTACCAAGTACAGTACCCAGCACATAATAAGTGCTCAAGAAATAGCAAATGAATGAAGCCCTAAGGTCACAGCCTCCAGCACAGGGGACATTCAAGCTGGGGCTTTGCAGACGACTGTCCAGAAACACTGAGAACAACAAGAGGGTGCAGTCTGACCTCCATGCCTGCTGCCTTTTCTGGCACCATCCATTCACCCATGTGCCTTCCTTGGACAAGGGACCAGAAGAGATGCAAAGCAGGAAGCTATGGTTCCTGGTCACTGGTATTTCCAGTGGTGATCAGCCTTCACCTCTGTGGGCAGAGGAGTTACAGATTACAGCGCTCAATTTAGACGTTTTTCAAAATGAAAACAAGCTGATGTCCTGGGTGCCTCCTGTGTTTAAGACACTGTGCTGACCACAGACAGGGATACCAAAGCATGCAGGCTATTAACTTACCCAGAAGTCATTTCCAATCTTGTTGAGGAACAGGGTATTAAAATGTTGAATGACATTTATGAGACCATTCAAGCCTCCTCAGAAGAGCCCTTATGAGCCACACTCCTTTGCTTTCTAACGGGCACATGTATCTGCAGCCCCGGGTCTTCAACAATCCTGCCATCTGCTTGATGATAATGACTATGTCCTGAGGACCATTTATTGAGCATTTACTATGCACTCAGCACCATCTCTCCAAGTAGGTATTGCGATCTCTGGTTCACTATTGAGGAAATAGGTCTCAAAAAGATTAAATGATTATCACAAGGTGATCAGAGCTGAGATTTGGATCTGAGTATGTGGAGCTCAATGTCCTTTCCACCATGGGACTCCAAGGGATGCATTCCAGAGTACCTTGTGCACCTTGTGCTTTGGAAAGACTCATGGAGCAGCATGTATCACTCAGGGTATCCCGCAGCCTCTTTTCTGTTCTGTTCTTGTTCTTCCCCCAATGCCCATCCAATGGTGCCATCTTGACACATATGAGTAATTGGTGTTGTCTCTCCCATGGTACCACCTGAGGTTCTTCCTGCTTATAATAATATGATATTTGGGGAAGAGGGGACTTGATTTGATCTGCTTCAGAGTTGAATGTATAGGCTCTCTGTTTGCAAACGATGCACTCAAGCTATCTCAAAAGACTGGGGAAATGCATCCAAAAGCCTCAGGGCACCTCAGGGAATGAAAAACCTGTCACCATCATGAGGAAGGGATGTGGGGATGGAAGAGCCCTTGAGAGGAGAGGCAGCTGCTCTTGTCTCCAGCTCCCAGGGACAAGGCTATCATTCCTCCCCCGACTCCACTGTGTTGCGTCTGTCTGTGAAGGGTTTCTCTGTGGCATGAAGCTTCTCAATGGCCACCTGTCACTGTGCAGTTCTCAAGTCCCTCCAGTTCATATAAGACCTATGAACACTATCTCTGGACCTTTCTTTTTTTTTTTCCTTTAATTTTTATTGTTGGTTGTTCAAAACATTTCATAGTTTTTGACATATCATATTATCTCTGTACCTTTCAGTTCATGTTCTCAGAAGTAAAGAATCCACGCAAGTTCAAAGCCAGCCTCAGCAAAAGCGAGGCACTAAGCAACTCAGGGAGACCCTGTCTCTAAATAAAATACAAACTAGGGCTGGGGATGAGGCTCAGTGGTTGAGTGCCCCTGAGTTCAATCCCCAATACCCAAGAAAAAAAAGATCCATTAGTCCAAGCCACCTGCTTATGGGAAGTGGTGTTTGAGTGGGGTGCCCAACTCAAGTCCAGTGAGTTGTGACCAAAGACAAAGGTCTTGAACTTCTAAATGTCTGCCAAAGGCATTCCTTCAATAACAGCTGGTGGGAGGAGACACGGAACTACCGCGGTTCCTAGAGCTAGACAAGTGGCCCAGCCAGACTCCCCAAGACAAAGCACACCTTCCACACAGAGGCATGGTAACCCCATTAGAGTTCCAGAGCTCCATTGCCGGAGAGTGTGTTCCCTGCTATGAGGGGGAGGCTAGTGCCATGGTCATGATTTTATTTATATTGGCTTTCAATTAAGCATGCCCTCATCAGTGCCCCCCGGGGACCCCTTCCTCCACCCAGGACCAAAGGCCATTGGTGAGGGCTGATTAAACAGGTGCTAGCACCTCATTAACTCAGGCTTCTCTTTGTGTCTCCCCTCCCTCCAGTTTGGATTACCACCCTGCACCTGGCCCTTCTGCCTCTCAGCGCTCACCTTCCTGCTCCTGACGACCAACAACCCCGCCATCTACAGGCTCCCACTCAGCAAGGTCACCTACCCAGAGGCCAACCGCACCTATTACCTGTCCCAGGAGAGAAACAGAAGAGTATCTACCACAACCAAGTACCAGGCCTACGATGTCTCCTAAGTGGCCCTTTCCAGCAGGCTACCTGTGTCCCCAGGCTAAAGGTCACTTAACCTCCCCTCTGTCTGTTCTGTGATTCTCCCTGCCAAGCACAGACCAAAATGTGTGTGGTCACCTTCAGGAGCCTCCCTAAGATGCACGACACTTGTCCACAACATGTTAGTTTAGACTTGACACCCACCGCTGGCTCTATTGGCCCAAGAGCTCCCTTTGAGGGGACTTGCTGTCTTCTGCAAAATAAGCTCATCCTTAAAGAGAGGTCACCCAGAAGGGACAGAGATGGGTGACAAGATCACCCAGCACAGTCAGTTAATGTAGCAAAGCACAGTCCAGAGAAATGTTCATTAGCCTGGAAAGCAAGAGGCCTGATCCCCTCCTAGCTCTGCCACTAATGATCCCCAACTGTCTCAGGCTCAATTTCTTGTTGGCAAGGGTTTCTTTATGACAGGGAGGGACTCTAAAGTCTCTTCCACCTCAGAAGTGTTGATTCTTCTCTGTCTCCTATAAACTGATCAAATCAGCATGACCGGCAAGTGTTACCTTAGGTTAAATAATACAAGCAGCAGCAGGACAGCGCTACGGCTCTCCAGAGCTCAACTCTCAGATTAGAGAAGTTCTCCAGATTTGAGGTTAGGAATCTACTTTCACCAGAATTGCCAACTGCCTTTCCTGACAGAACAGAAATGTTTCTGGAGATGTCATAAGATGATCTCTTACAACACTTGAATCACAACATAAAGAAGTATCTTTCCTTTTGTAAAATTCACAATCATAATGTCATTAAACTGCTCTAACATTGTGAGTTGGAACCAGGGTTTCCCTCCACAGTCACGTGCTGCCCACTGGAAGGGTTTTCCTCTGTCACACCTGTCTGGAAAGAGACGAGGGTGGGGTAAAAACTGTCAGAGGAGGGTGTGGTTTGCTGATGGAGAGAGTTACACAGAAATGACCTTGGACATTGCTTTCTGTTTGAGCTGAAGTGCAGATTCTGGTGACCCATGTGTCTTTGAGCATATTTATCCTTGTGTGCCCAGAATACAGACCCAGCTCCTCTTAGATGGCCACTAACTTCCATTAGTCGCTCTGGGGATAGCACGGACAGAGCTCCTAAACCACAGGACTCCTTTGTGGGAAGCCATGTGCCCCAGCCCTCCCACCTTTCTCTCAGCGGACGGTAAACCTCTTCTTGCCACAGTGACACACACACACACACACACACACACACACACACACACACCACTTCCAGTTTAGCATGATGGGACAATGACATAAGAAGAGAGTGGGGAATGGAAGAGGAAGAGGACAAACCCCTCTATGAACACAGCTTTAAGAAAGAACATTTTACACCAGGCATGGTGGCACACTCCTGTAATCCCAGCCGCTCAGGAGGCTGAGGCAGGAGGATCACAAGTTTGAGTCCAGCCTCAGCAACTAAGTGAGGCTCTAAACAACTCAGTGAGATTCTGACTCAAAATAAAAATGGGGGTTTGGCTCCGTGGTAAAGTACTTCTGGATTCAATTCTCTAGTACAAAAAAAAAAAAAGGTGCACTTTACCAAATCCATCCTTTACAAAAAGTTTGTTTCTCCCTGTGTCTTCTCATTCCCCCATCTTCTACAAGGTCGACTGGGCTGTATGTTTGCCTTCTAGTCGTAGCTAGCCCATTAGGACTTCCCCAGGAAAGTGGAGCACTTCTCCATGGAAACAAGTCCTCCACACAGGAAAGGGAATGACTCACATTCCAGAGCTCCCTCTGAGTTCGCCATCACACCTTGAGGCCAAGAAGGTCCCAGGCTGTATTTTAATGACCATAGAATTACAACTCTCTGAGGAGCACACATCCAGGACTTTCCCCAGAAAGCTGTTTGCTCTCAATTCACTCAGCTGTCCCAGAACCTCCAAGTGATGACATTGAACTATTAAAGTACCCGTTCTCATGCACTTACCACCAAAGTCTTATATAATCTGGTTTTATTAAGAGCAGGAAACCCTCCACGTGCATGCCATTCTGATTACTGACCACTAATAAAACCTCTCAGCTGTTCTAAGTATTCCAATACCCTTGCCTATAAAGCAAGCTGAATTGGCCCAGATTCCAAGCAAGGTGGAAATAGATGGGGTGAAAGAACTCAACCTATGAAAACATGCAATGTCTACAAGGCACCAGAGTAGTCAGTCTAGTCCAACACTTAATTAAGCATCAACCGTGGAGTTGGAGTCAGCTCCACACTGCCTGAGAGCCAACTGAGCAAGCAATGCCATTCAGTGATGTCATCCTGGCAGCTTGAAATCAGCCATGGAGGGAGTATTTACACCACAGAAATTGGCAAACTATGAATCTGGGTGTGCACACAAAACCATGATATACGTTTTGCAGGACACACACCAAGAAAAAAAAAAGTGCTTCGGAATGTAGGAGGGAAAATGGTGAGGTTTACAATTAAACACACACACACACACATACACACACGGCTTCATGAATTCTAGAGAAAGGCTTTCAATGGACCAATGAAGATAGCATGCTAAAGACTAAGGCACGTGCTTAACTCAACTTTCTGTTAGAAAAAAATTAAAGGAGAGGGGTGGACACACACACACACACACACACACACACACACTCGAGTTGTTTTTGTCATTTATCTCTTCTGTACAGAACTAGCCCACCGATGGTACATAGTAACCTTGAGCTGGTTGAGGAACTGGCTGATAAGATACCACCCCACCCCTTCTCTCCTGCCCTCTTCACTTATCCTGGCTAGAATTTGAAATCTGTTTCACAACACAATCACATACTTATAATAATAGACACAAGAATCTCAGGCAGGCAGCAGACACAATCTTGTCTCCAAAAATGGCCGCCTGTGACCTCCCCCAACCTTTGGTAATGGTGTTCGGGGAAAGAATGCTTCAGAATGGTCCACACAACTTAACCCTAAACTTCTCATCATTATATGGGCAATAACTTCAAGCCCAGGCATGCCATCTTCCACAACCATCCTTTCCTTATGGCGTGTCTAGACTGTGGAGCCCCAAGTCATATGATGGCCTCAGGTGAGACCAGTAGATGGTAGATCAGTAGTTCTCAAACTCCCACAAGTATTGAAATCACCTCAAGAGCTTATTTAGCACAAATTACTGGGCCCCATTCCAGAATTTGATGCAGTAGGTCTAGGGAAGGGTCTGGGTATTTGGATTTCTAAACACCTTCTCAAGTGGTGCCGATGCTGTGGGCTTAGGGGTCACACTTTGAGAAACATTAGTGTAAACTTAGAAATAAGACACTGTCCCCAGTCACCCTTTCCCCTTCACTGAACATGACATGCCCTGGTTGCAAATTCTCATGCATACAAGAACCATCTGCAGAGATTGTTAAAAAATGGATCCCTGGATCTCAGCCCCAAAGATTTGGAATTGGAAGATCTAGATGGAGCCAGGAATCTGAACCTCCCACAAACTCTTGGATTATACAAATACTGCTGGATCAAGGTCCAGACTTCAAGATCATTGCATCAACTCTCAGCCCTGGTAGCTTAGAATTGACACATGGGGCCTACCCCAGACCAACTCAGCAGTGGGTCTGGGTACAGGGGTGTTTTTAAAGCTCCTGGGGTATGTTCTAATGTGCAGACAGGATTTAAAACAACCATAGTGTCTGTTCTCTGGGCCCCAACTGGTCTCCAATCAGTCACTCCTAGAGGCTAGTAAGCCCTAAGCCTCCATCCTCAGTCTGCAGGTGGGTTTTGAGTAAAGGGCAGAAGGCCCAACATGAAGTACAGTGGGAAGCGCTGGGCACCTGGGGGCAGGAGGTACAGGCACACCACAGAGATCCTGAAAAACAGTCTTATCTCTTTCTCAATGTTGTTGAGGGCTGTCCCTGCACCCAGCAGAGACTAAATAAAGAAAAATGAAACCACTAACCAGAAACATCCGGCTCAATAGGCCAAGCAGACAAGCAAGGTTTGGTATTGGCCCCGGAAGACTATCAGCTGAGCACCTTGGCCCAAGAGAGGAAACGGAAGGCACTGAGGCAGTCCACAGCCCAGCCACAGTGTCCTCAGATGGGCAGCTCAGGCCTGGTGGAGGGGTGTGGCCGCAGGTGGGATGCAGCCGTGTTCAGCCCTGTGAGCAGGTATGGGATGAAGGGCTGCCCAGGGTGGGGCTATAAGATGGGAGGAGTCGGGGTGACAGCAGCAGCTGCTGCTGCAAGTGGCCAGGCAAATGGGGAGATGGTACAAATAGGAGAGTAGCCCCATAGAGGCCCTGAGCAGGTAGGCAGTCGAGATGAGAGGTCAGGAGGTGGAGAAAAGCAGAACACAATGACGGGCAAAAGAGCAAGTACCCGCGGGCCAGGTGGTACTAGAACAGGAAGGAGGAAGAGGGGGAAATGGGCAGGTTTTGGTGGAGAAGTGAGACTCCAGCCATCTGCAAACTGCCTGGTGAGGCCAGGAGTGTGACAGGGACAGGAAGGAGCGCTCACTCCTTTTGCCAGCATCTGTGTCTTGAGGGGTCAGTCTGAGTCACAAGGATCCACCATAATGTTGGAAAGAGGGACTGTCCCATGAATGTGGCCTGAGCAGCCATGGCAAGGAGCATCACAGGGTAGGGAGGTAGGCACTCATACGAGTGGGACATGGAAATATCCCAGTGCCCAAGCCACAGCCTGGCCCCATCAGATCTCTAGGGCAGACCCACGCATGCGTGGTTTCAAAGCTCCCTGGGACATACGAAGGTTGCTGTGGGGCCCATAGATGTGGAGTGGTCCCTACTGTCAGGTGGGCTACAGGGAGGCTGCAGGGAGAATTCTCTGGAGAGTTCTCAGCTAGGAGGACCCTCAGACAGCATGGTTTGTCAAGTGGTAGTTGTCCCCATACCTGGGTCAGAGGTGGCATGCAGTTACATGCACTTCTTGAGCTCTGGGTCTGGAGACTTAAGCTGTATTCCAGGCCCTCTACAGACCTGTGGGATCCTTTTCTGCTTGTCTATGGATCATTTTTATTTTAAGCTCCTTGAGAGACATCCATGCTCTGCTGGTTTCTGGCAACCCTGATGTAGACCAAGAAAGAGAGCTCAGGACACAACCTCGAGGAGAGGATCAGGAGGGTAGGCCAGGGCCTCACACAGGGTGATCTCCCTCATCACCCATCCTGGGCAGCCACTGCCCTCAAGGGCCAGCTTCTCCACTTCAGGGCCCCACCTGGCTCCTTGACAGGAACAGACTCTGAGCCCAGCACAGGGCTTTGTATGGTCTCTGAGTCCCCACACTTCCTGATTCTCCATGCCCCCCACCCCGCCCCCGCCCCAAGTATAGTGAGAGGGCAACATCTCCAAGACCACACTTCCAATGAGCTCAGGTTTGGGATTCACTCTTTCATGAGGATTTGCTTATATTTTTTTGAGGATGTGCTTACTGACTTGAGTGCTAATGGATCTTTTTAACTTGCTCTTTGAGAATTAGAACAACAGAGTGATCGGGTTTTTGTGTTTGTGGAATTGCTTCTTTTATCTTACACCAAGTCAGAACCCATATGAGACAGTTCACCTGTGAATTCCTCTGGGTGTCTTTTAGCAAGTGGATGCAGGAGCCACATTTTTGGATTGCCACTAAAGTATCAATTTTTAAAAAATATAAACAGTAAACAGTGTGTTGTGTTGTATTGTGTTGGCTTGGTTTTTGGAAGTGTGGTCCAAGAACCATCCAAATCAGAATCACTCAGTGATTAACAATGCAAATCCCTAGGGCCCCTCCAGACCAAATAATCAGAAGCTCTGCAGCTGGAGCCTGATTCTGCACCCTAAAGCTCCCTGGTGATTCCTGTGCACATCAAAGTTTAAGAACCCTACTTATCCTTCAACTGAGAGAGAGGGGGAGAGGGAGAGACTAGTTGGTTGTGTGTTAAAGAGATTGGGCACAGAGGCTGACAGATACTTAGGACCAAGATGTCTCTTCCTGTACCCAATCCCACTCCCATAAGCACTGCCCCTTCTGTGTCCTTTTGCATGTGGACATCCTGTGTAGTCTGTGTGCCATCACTGAGCTCGCGCACACTATGGGCACCTTGGCTTGTGATACCTCCAAATTGTCACCAGAGGGCACCAGAGCATCTCCAAAAACCTCTCAAGGCTCCCTTGTTCTTGCTCTCCATTTCCATGGCAGACAGTTCACTCTCCACAACTAGGATCCCAATCTGTCCCCACTTCACTGTCACTGATTCTCAAAGGACACTGCAGCTCGTCAGAGTGAACAGCTGCTAAGAAAAGCATTAACTAATCGTGAATCCTGAGGAATCTACCTTATGCTTCTAAGACTGATTTCTCCTCCTAAAAAAGAATTATCACAGACCTATCACTGGAGTTCTTTTCAAAGTGAAATGAGATAATAGAGGAAAACCTCCTCGACCATATCCTGGTTATTATTCTACCATCAGGAAGTGATGTAAATTGCTAGAAAACCAGAAGCCTTGAAATGCAAAAATAATTTTTTTTAATTTTATTATTAACAAATCAAAATTCAGTCATGGCTGTCTTTCACACATATATTCCAAAATTTTTCCACCCTTTTTATAATTTTTGGTCTCTGCCTGTATTTTCCACGTAGCACAGTTCAAAACTCTGCTGGTGAGCAGAAAAGCATGGTTAAAAAAGAGGAATCGCCTCCAGCAGGCCAGGCCAGCTCCTCAGCTCACACCCGACCCACCTGACTCTCTTTCTTAAGGCTAGGGGGTTTATTTTTAAAACAGGTGTAACTCAAATTTTGTTCCCTAATTCATTGTGCTGTACACAGCATTGCAACAATTTATTCTGTGAAGATAATTATAATAGGAACTCTGATGGCAGAGGATGATGTGGAGGTGGAGTAGATGGAGTTGGTGGTGGTGGAAGTGGTGGAGGTGACAATGGTGGAGGTAGTAATGGTGAAGTCGGTGGTTTTGGTGGTGGTGGTGGTGGTGGGTAGGTGATGGTGAAGCTGGTGTAGTATTGGTGGAGGTAATTGGTGAGGGTGGAGGTGTTGGTAGCATTGATGGGGGTTGATGGAGGTGGTGGTAGACTCTCTTACTTAGCATCCTTCAGAAGTTTCTCTTGCCTGAAGGATCAAGCTCATGTTCATGACCCAGCTCCTGCTTACTTCTTCACTCTTACTTCTCATCAGCCACACACACACACACACACACACACACACACACACAGTCTCTCTCTCTAACACACACAAAGTTCTTCCATACTTGAAAATCTCTGAGCCTCCATCCCAATGCAGAATTTTATTCTGTTTTCATTCATTGCTGCTCTGACCACTTCTTTTCTTCAGTCTTCAGAGCCCGTTCAGTATTCAGATCCCAGTTTCAATGTCACTATCATTTTTTGCATTCTTCAATACTTCGGTGGCATTTGGGGATACCTCATCTGTAATTTCTCTGGTGTGGCTTGTAAGAAATTCATGGGGTCTCTCTGCCTGCCAGAGGTGGCCTTTCAATTGGTCTCTCCAAAGGCCCATTTAGACTGATCCAAGAACCCTAGCCAGTTCCCGTGCAGACCCTGCAGTCCCGCCATTGCAGTCTTACAAACACGTTGTGAGATCGGGTGACAGAGTAGTGTGTGCTCTAGGCTCAGACAACCTATCACAAGTCTTTTTGTTTCACTTTGTTTTGTTACATCTTATTAAACTAACATCTTCCTAGAAAAGTTAACTAATCATCAGGGTGTCACTTAGTCAATGAATTTTGCATAAATGAACACACCCATGTAACCAGCACCCAGCTCAAGCAAGAGAATATCACTAGCATTCAGAAGCCCCTCAACAGTTTTATTTTTTAAAAAGTAGGTTTAAACTTATGATGTAAATATGAGCTGCCACATTTCAAATATGTGAGTAGATAGTAGCTTTTTCAAAGATCTATTAAAAGTTTCAGAAGCCAAAATGCTTCCGAGGAAGTCGCTTTAGGGATCTGGATACACAGTGTTCCTTTCCAAAGCAACACCCAAGCCCTTAGCTAACCTGGAGCTCCTGCGGGGGAGAGAGCCAGGTACACACACTACTTGAGTGAAAGGACCAACGATGTTTGGAGAACACCACGTTAACTGTAAGGACATTCCGAAGAGGTTCAGGGAATGAGATGGGAACACCTACGTGGTTGCCTGCCAACTCCAACATGTCTCTCTATGAGGGACATCACAGGTACCATCTCACCAATTCCCTTGAGTGGGTCACCCCATTTGAAAGCAAAGTAAGCTGAGGAAAGACAACAGACTTGTGTCAAATCCACAGATTATGATGTTCAAAAGCCCCTTAGAAACAGGATTTCAGTCATCTGGCATCTTACAAAGAACAGCATAGGCAAAAACCCTGGGTGGAAGAGAGGACAGCTCCTCAGGCACTTCCATCCCAGGGGCCCTGACACCTCTGTGCAACGTCCCCCCTAGGAGAATGAGAGTTAAGGATGGAGGGGCAGGGTAGCACCTTCTTCCGGAAGCAGGGTCCTGGAAACCAGGTGGAGGGGCTTTAATGCAGGGTTTTGTGCCTTATCCCTACTGCCCTTCCCTGCATGATGGCTGGGAGTTCAAGGTGGGGACCTTGCCCTTCTTGTATAAGTGCACCTTCTTCTGTATTTCTAAGGACGCCTTGATGTTTCACAAGGATATTTCGCAGTCCTCCTGCGCTGGAAATGTACTGGCTCTGTTCCTGACACATTCCTATGGCCCCCAGCGTCACACAGGTGTTTGGGACAGCACCTGACCTCCTAATCTGATGGGCTTACAAGGAAAGGTCAAGCCCCACAGCTCACACAAGCTGCAGGACAAGTCTGTGGTGCTCAGTGTGTGCACAAGGATTCCAGAACATTCCCTTTATCTCAAGAGGCCCTTGTACCCCGAGCAGTATACTCCCAGGTTAACTCCCAGGCCCTGTCGAGCTGCCTGGAGGCCTCACTCTGCTCTGCCCTTTGCAACTGCTGAGGGAGTCACCACGTCCCCTGGAGGTGCAGCAGGACTGGCGCCCTCACAATGAACCTCATCAGCCCTGGACAGGTCACCTCGCCAACCCTTGGCTTCCTTGGCTTCTAAAAGGAATATGATGCCACCTGAAGGGTTGAAGGAGCATCTGCCCCCATCTCATCAAAAGTACAAGCTCTAAAGGACCCTCCATGGCCAGCAGAGCTGAGCAGAGGGACCTGGTATGAGGGTAGCTGAATAAGCCTCCGGGGAATGGCTCTGCTTCCTCATCCTCCTCCTGCCTCTGACAGCTCCCCTGCTGTCCCAGAAGACCCTCCCTGGCCTCATCTTCCCTGTCCCATCTTTGTCAACAATGCCCAAGATTCTTTCCCAGACTAGAGACCCACAACTCCAACACCATCCTGGGTATTTCCAGACATCTCAAACGCATGTCACAAAATAGACTCCCACCCACCTCTTCTCTATGCCATATTGTGACTTTAAACTTTTCATGACGTATACAGACTCACCTTAAAGTGCACATGCACAAACTGAAACACCCAGGGCACCAGCACCCAGATGAAGAAACAAACATTGGTGGCACCCCAGAAGTCCCCTGTGCCCCTTCCAGTAGGGACCAAAATCCTGACTTCTGTCAGTTTAGCCCAGTTTTAAACTTGGTATAAATGGCATCATTTAGTCATACCCTCCTGTCACTAGCTTCTTTCACTCAACACTGTGAGATTGACCCCCAGCCTTGGGAGGAGTTGCATGTGATTCGTTCTCTTGCAGGGTGAGGGTCTCACTAGTTGTCTACTCTAGTGAAGGGCAATTGAGCTGCTCTCCATTTGGGGCCACTTGGGTACTGCTGTAATGGAACATTGTTGTGAATGTCCACAATTTATTGCTTAAGTGTACATCACCTGGCAGCATTTAAGAGAGTCTGACCTATATATGGTAAGATGGGAAACTGGGGAGGAGTCATGAAGGAATATGGCCTCCAGCCAAGGGAAGATGCTGAACCCAGGCAGCATGGCTCACAGCCTGCAGCCAGGCTCTACAGAGGAGGAACTGGCCATACCTCAACCCCAGTCCCTGGGAACTCCAGGCCTCCTATATTTGGGTTGGCCTGGGTTTGCAGCTGAGGTTGGAACCATCCTAGATTGTCCACAAGGAGCCCTGTAGAAACAGGCTTCCTTTCTGCTTGCCAACCTCACAGTGGCCCATGTGTCCCCAGAACTGGCCAATCTACATGCCTAGAGAGGCTCAGCCCTCCCCAGTTGCTATATAGCCCTAGAGGGCGGCCGAAGCTTCCCTGGAGGGCTGGCTGATGGCTGTTTTGTGCCTGAGGATGGTTGACCTGCAACAAGAGCCGATGACCAAAGGCCATCCATGCACGTTGCAGATGGCAGAGGCATTGTCCCCTGGACTACCTGTCTAGTCGTAATGCTAGAGTGCTGGACTGAGAGCCATGAAAATATACCCCTACCCCTTTGCTACCCCCAAGACACACATGCCTTATTTCAGTACCATTCAAGAACTCATCCTAGCCCTTCAAGTCCTCAGAGTGACAGTCATTCACTCATATAGTCACCCATAGACTCGGCATACAGTTATTGAGAATCTTTGTGAGCCAGATACTGATCCTGAAACTGGATTAAGTAATGAAAAAAAACCAGCCCAGACTCTGCCCTCAGGAAGCCTGCAGGCTGGTGAGCAAGCTCGGTTGTGGCAAATAAGCTCCCCCGTTTTGCATCCTACCAGGTACCTGTGTCACTCTGGGTGATGCAAGCCTATAGTTGCAGCTCTGGCCTGAAGATTGACCTTCTCTCAGACAGAGAGATTTCCTTTGGAAAGTGTAGTCAAGTGTCCATGAGTGTAATGTAAGCTACAGAAAGTACAGTTTCACACAGGTAGGATATTTTTTTTTGGAGGGGAGGGGTAACTTTTAGCCAAAGGAATTGTATGCTGGGGTGTGGTGGGAAGGAATCACTGCAGGACCCCTGGGTTTATAAGGTCAAGGAATCCAAAATGCAGACCCAAAGAGTGCAGGGGAGGGGCACAAGGCAAATGCATAGGGAAGATCCCAAAGCCTTTTTAGGGTTGGCCCTGCAGGACAGGAGACATCAGTCCTGTGGAGGGCAGGCTGCAGAGGTTTCTGGCTGGATGGTAGGCACTGGTGCCAGGCCCAGGCCTGGAGGGAGCCCTGCCCTCTGCAAGTGCACATAAGCCTCTTGTGACTGTGATGATCTCTCTTGGTGACTGACAGCCGGGAGGCATCCACCAAGCCTGTGTGAAGCAATGGGGCATCAAGCAGAGGGTGGGGCAGACTAAGCTAATGGAGCCTAATGGGAGGAAGGGGTGACAGGCTTCGCCTAGAGCAGCACTTTCCCCAGGCACAGCCCAGCTTGTGACAACACGCTCCCTGCTGCCAGCTGGAACACGACCGTGACTCTCTTGGGCTCACCATGGCATCTCCAACCAAGACGCTGGAATCTGTGAACTGTCACCACTCCAGGAGGCTGACTGCATTCCTTCTTTCCAAGTCTCAAGGAGAAAGATGTCCTAGGGGGGCGCCTCCCAAATGTAAGGTGCACACAAATCCCCTGGCGCTTAAGACAGCTCGGGACTCGGGTGGTCTGAGTGGGACTGAGATTCTCATTTCTCACAAGTTCTAGAGTGTGCAAAGCTACCTGTGAGTAGGCCACACTTTGAGTAGCAAGAGTTGAACATTACCAGAAGGGAAGAAACCAAACTGTCACCTCGGTTTGGGGCGGGGTGGGGGGGTTGGATCTAGCACCTGGTTGTACAGGCAGTTTTTAAAGTACAGATAACTGATTTCTTGAGCAGTCTGCTTCATGAGATGCAAATAAAATACGGGTTTTTAAGTCATTCTCTTTCAACAATCAGAAAGCTTCTTTTTTTTTTTTTTTTTTTTGAGTAATGGAACTGAGATGATGGCACCATTGTTAGAAATAGGGAAGCCATTTAAAGAAGAATGAAATTATGGCATTTGTCAGTCAATGGACGGAGTTGGAGAATGTCATGCTAAGCAAAATAAGCCAATCCCAAAAAAAAACAAAGGCCAAATGTTTTCTCTAACATGCGGATGCTAATTCACAATGGAGGCCCAGCACTAGAGAAGAATAGCATTACCTGAGATTAGGTAGAGGGAAGTGAAGGGAGGGGAGGGGAGGGGATGTGGAGATGGAAAGATAGTAGAATGAAACAGACATTATTACTGTATGTATATATGTGACTACATGACCAATGTGACTCTACAACATGTACACTCAGAAAAATGAGAAATTATATCCTATCTATGTATGATATATCAAAGTTCATAAATGCATTCTACTGTCATGTATAGCTAATTAAAACAAATAAAAAATTTCAAAATTAAAAAACCCTCAAAAAAAGAAAGAAAGAAGGAAGCCAGAGACAGATGGTTTAAAGGTAAATAATAATAAAAACCACCTTTGCTTCAATGCCAATCATGTGCTATGATCTTGTTTCATCTTTTTATTTGGTAAATTAACCTTCATTCATTTTATGGTAAAATTAACTTCCCTTATGCTGTTATTCCTCACTATAATTTGAACCTTATCTGTCAAACTCCAAAATCCATCTGATCCCCCTGTGACACACTTCCTTGTGGTGGGTGAGGAATCAGGGTTAGGTGGATTCAGTGTAGTAGTTCTCAACCTTGCCTGTGCATTAGAATCACCAAAAAGTCTTCTGAAACCCCTACACCTCAAACTAACTCCATAAGACTCTCTAGGGGAGGAACTCTTCATCAGCATTTTTTAAAGCTCCCCAGATATTTCCAATATGCAGACAAGCCTAAGAGTCACTGATTCAGCCCAACTCTTCCTCTAATAAGTGAGGCAGTTTGTTAAGCTAGTAGGTGAAGTGCCAATTCCATCAGAGTCCAAGCCAGTAGACAGATCTCCATTCCTACCCCCCAATAAACCAATAACCAGCTGACCATAAATGATGCTGTAGGATGAAGTAGAACAGGAGGGGAAGGAGGTGGAATCTTGCCAAGGGAAAACAAGGGGAGAAGACTGAGAATTCAAGCCAGCGCACATTTAGAGCTGAGAAGATTCAGAAAGATAGAGAAGTTCAAACGACTTAAATCCTTGGAATGAAGAACAATATCTTACTCAACTAAGAACCTTATTTTTTGACATACATTCAACAATGGCCAGATGGGTGATTGAATCCAATGGACCAAAATATTGAGAAGCCAGGTGGAAGAGAGAAATGGGGTTCATGTTGGTACTGAGGAAGGGGACAATGACAGAAGAGACTTTACCTGGTATGCAGCATCCAGAGCGGCAAAAAAGCATGTGGCCATCATGGGAAAACACGTTTGGGGATTTTGTTTTGAGGCTTGGGATTATTTTAAACTAATAAGACAAAATATACCAGGTAGAGAGATAAATGAAGCAATCCATTTGAAGCAAAAATGTGGAGGCTCTGCTAGGGACCTCAGTCCATCATCTCTGTCCAACTGAGCTGAGAGGCTGAGGCTGCCACCCTCTCCTCCAACAGAAATCTCAGATTATAAAATGAGCAAAGCTCTGGGAACCCAACCTACCACCAAAGCTTTCTTCAGGCAACTTATTTCCACCCTTCAGACTGTCATGAATATTATTTTAAATCTAGTTTTTCTTTTTTCAATGCTGGAAACTAAAGACTATTAAAAAATTGCTTGTTGGACTTGCATGGCAGTTCAATATCTCTTTGAGATTCATGGACCCCAAATGGGGGGGAAAAATAAGTCAGAATTCTAAAGGATGTTGGGCATTCAAAGCCTATATGAGGATATCATATTATTATTTTTTCATTGCTATGAAAGAATACTTGAGTGGTACTTTATAAAGAAAAGAGCTTTATTTAGCTCATAGCTTGGGATGCTAAAGTCCAAGATTGGCCTCTTCAGTTTACATTCTTGTCAGGGCCTCATGGTGGATGGCATCACAATGGTGTGAGCTTCTTTGAAAGCAATTACATGGCAAGAGAGGAAGCCAGAGAGCAGGAGGGATCAGGCCTCACTCTTTTATAAAACATCCCTCATGAGATGCCCCAGCCACATAACCACCTCCCACGAGGCCTCACCTCTTCAAGGTTCCACCACCCATTTACATCATCACACTGAGGACCAACTTCCAACACACGTGTTCAAAAATGACATCTCCTGAGCTGCATCCTACGTGCTCTTCTGTGTGGAGGAGGGACTTCTCATCCATGTGTGACCTCAGCTGACACTTGAACATGGATGTCCAGTGTCTCACTGAGTCATGCATTTGGGGAATAGAGAGCTAATAATAAGGCATAACTCTGGCTTCACTCACATCAGCACTACCCAACCCCCACAGGCCACCATAAAATAACTAAATATTAGCCCTTCATTCAGTTACATCCTTTGATCCAGGCTTTGGGAAAATAAATAACTTAAGCTTTGGGAGAAATACCACAGGTGGGAAAAACAGATAAAGCCATGGGAAATCTGTTCTCCTTGTCCATAATCTACCTTGTCCCACATTTCTATTTCTCCAACACCCAGTATTGACACCGCAGTTGGGAGAAGGTACCTCTGGTCCCAAGAAACTCAGGCTTTAACACAGATGTTTCCATTATTGGAAACAAAGTTGATGTGAGCATATCTCCAAATAAGAGTCACCACCGAGTTAAGATTTCCCATCTTTTATTTAAAAGCAGGGACTCGTGGTAAACTAGGAACCCTTCTAGTCCCATCACCACTTTTGCATCTTAGTTTTAAATGAGAAATTGAAAGTTTTGTACTGTCCAATAACTGCATGGAAAACATGATAATATAATGCTTAGCTGATTTTTAACATTTTATAAGAGATATTGCATCAAAAAAAATAATGCCCTCTCCACCAGGTTCAATTTTGGTTTTGAATAAAACATGGAGTCATTTGTACTTTAACAGCAGGATGCAGCATTAGGGGTGCACAGAAATTCTCCACCATGTCTATCTCTCTTAGCACCCTGGCACAATTGCATTTCCTGGACCAATACTCTTGTAGTGAGAGTTGCTAAGACTCTGATACAAACCTCTGGTCACATTCATATAAACCAACTCAGTTGGTAAACTCAACTTATCAACTCAACAAGTTGGGGAGGCAATAAATTTGGTCCACTTTCAAGCTAGCTGATGGCACAACACCATCATGTTTAAAAAAAAAAAAAATTCTTGTTCATCCAGAGTGGTCTCTTTAAGATGACTGACCATGAATATGGAGCAAGGGACATGCTCCCTGTGTCAGAATTTTAGGTAGCAGGGAGCATGAAGGTTGCCATGGAGTTTTTGTGCTTATCCATCAGGTAACTGGGACAAGGCTGGCTGACCATGCTCCACTGTGTGCCCCACATGTGGAAGAGTAGCATAATATTGGGAACCACTTCTGGCTGCCCCACTTGAACTTAATACCCTTCCTGTTGGCCAGCCTAGCCATTAGCTTGATTTGACACAGCTGCAGAGCCAGTGTCTGAGTGGTATGTCACATGGGAACAGCACTGTGGATCTGAGGATGGTTAAGGACACTTTCTCACAAGGACATCAGCGGCCAACTGAAGAATCTGAGGATGCAATGTGGTTGGTCCAGTTTCAAATAGGCCCACGGGACAGTCACAGAATCATTTTCCCTGATGTTCCTTTTACCCTTAGCCCTGACTCCAGGCTTGGCAGATACCAAAAGAAAGAGAAGAAAAGGCCAGGGGAGTGGGACTGTGGAGCACTTCTGATAACACAAAGGGTCCTTTAAGTCAGGCTGAGGATATTAAGCCAGAAGACGTTAAACCTCCAGTTGGGACAAGGGTGAGGAACCTAAGTCGGTGGCCACCTCCCTAGCTTCAGAGAGCAAGCTCACTGGAACACATCCTCCCTACCCCCACCCGCTGATAGTCCCCCTGGTGAGCCACCAGGATCCCCAGTGCTCAGAGAGTCTCATTCTCAATGGTGATGCCAGGTGCATCCCATCTTCTCTTCCTGGGCCTGTTGTAAAATAAAGCACAGCTTCCTAAGCCTGGGAGCAATAGGACTGTGTCTCCCACAATGAGGAAACACTCACTGTGACTGGGTCACCCTCAGGAGGAGGCCCAGGGAAATGTGTGTCCCTGTAACTTACTTTTCCCAACACTTGAATCCTTCCTCAACTAGTCTAATGAAATTCAAAAGATTCTCCTCCTACCCATATTCCTCACCCCTTTCCTCAGACATTTGACTGCCATCTGCAAGAATTTTGTTGCTAGAAATGTACACTTCTAGGGTATTTGTTGACCTCTTAGACCTGCAGCATTTGTACGTGCACAACCTACCCATTCTTAGGCACTGCCTGAGGACATCAGAGACTTGCACTATGGACCTAGACTGGCCTAATTTTAATTTAAAAGCTGGAAAAATGATCCCTGTGGTTATCTGATGAAAGTTGCACGTAGGGATTGAGATCCTGTCACCTTTCTGCTTTGTGCCGGAGTGCTCCCAGCTATTAAGCCCCATTTCATTTCTTAAATGGAGCTGGATAATTGCAGAACTTTACGAACTGAAAACATAAGTACATCCATACCTCCTGCCATCAGCCACCCCAAGCTCCCCAGGCGAGGGCAGGCAGCAGAAGTCTGAGAAAAACATTAGCACTAAGCGCCTGCCTGTCGGTTGGCTGCGCATCTGGGCAATGCCTACCACAAAGGGTGGCCCCCAAGTAGTGTTCTGGGTCAGTGGGAGATTTGGCTTTCATCTGGTGCTGTTTTGTCTCACTGTTTACCAAACCAAAACCTCCCTGGGCTCAGAACATACTGCAGGGGAACATTCTGTTCCAGACTGTGATCTCTGCTGCGCCCTCGGTGCTAGGATAAAGAAGAATGTGAATGCTTTTTCTTTAGCACTCTCTCTGCCACTTAGAAAAGACTTGCTTGGGATGCAGAAGAGCCTTCCAGCGGTCTCTTGCAAAATTCCCAATTGTGGGCACTGCCCAACTGCATGTGTTTAAGGTACAGAGTATAAATAAAGTTAAACTTCCTATAAACAGATTCAGAGCCAGCAGTAACCAAAATGAAATTGTGTTGTAATAAGTCCTGAGCCAAACCCATATTTAGAAACATGTAAAAATGCAAGACATCATAGAGAAACGTTAAAGCTAGTCATTATCCAATTTTGTTCTTCCTTCTTCCCCGTTTCTTCACCTGACTCTTATCATCTCTTACGTTGACCTAACCATCTTTCTGGAAAGAAAGCCATTGATCATCAATAAAGAGAATTATTGGATCCTGATCTTGTCATCCAGAACCTTCCAGCCCAGGTGGGACTGTAAAAATGACAAGATTTTTTTAAAAATATAAGACAAAAATTGAAGGGAGACCAGCAAAGTGGAGGGAAGGGACTGGGGGAAGGAGGAGGAGGAGAAAGAAAGAAATACTGGAGAACAATATCGACTAAATTGTATTTTTATATCATGTGCATGTA